AACAGAAATCTACATTCTTTTAATATCGGGCAGGTTCACATTACAATTGGGATCATATAGCACTAAGACACAAAAAGCATACTTAATCACCTGTGTAAAGATAAAGGGCGGTATTCTCGAAAGCAGACTAACTTTAGTCCATGGTTTTATCCACTGACTAGTTATGGAATGCCAAGTGTCCATATAAATATGTTTTTGAATAATTTAATCTGTCACTAAATTAAAATAAAATGTAATAACATAAGTAATAAACAATAATATAGGGTCATTCCATGTCAAATCACCCAAAAAATCTGAAAATCTTAACCCGACCATTTTTTATTTTGATGAAACTTGGTAAACTTGTTGAGTGTGATCTCACAGCACCAAATCCCAAATTTTAGGTCAATCGGGTGAGGGGTTTGGGAGATACGGCCCACCAAATTTTGAGATTTTTTCAAAAATGGGGGTGGCGGGCCTACCTTTGAACCCTTGTATCTCGGGACCTAATGGGTCAATCTTCTCAAAATTTGTATTGTTGGAAAGGGTATTCAATAAGGATTCCAAATCTGCCGCCATTTTGAAGATTCGTACATGTTGGGGTACTTTGACCTCTTGACCTCAGATTTGACCTTGAAATTGACCTTGTGGATCACGTAACTTTGACAACATTTTTCATGAAATGTAATCTCTGACATGTTCACTAAAACATATAAAAGTTTCAGAGATATAATATTTTTTGTTTTGGAGCAATAAGGATTGAAAGTATCCATGCTCACAGATATTCACAATAAGCCCTATTATAATGTATACAATACATGCAATATGCACAGTACAACATACATCTTCCACATGCTTTTTTGTTTTAGGCATATCCATCCTAAATGTCAGCAGTACTTGAATAGAAATAAAATGACAAGTTCATATAGGCCTAAAGGGTTAACAGGATGTATGGCTTTAGACCTCCGAGTCAGTTCTAGGAAAATTCCCCCCCGGAAAACTACCCTCTAAGGACAATTACCCCAGAGGACAATTACCCCCCCCCCCCCCCCCCCCTATTTGTTAAAGGGGAAGTCCATCCTGATAATAAAGTGGTTTTAATCAAAGCAGATTTTTTTTTTTGGGGGGTATAATATTTTTCAGGGGTAATTTTCCCGGGGGGGGGGGGGGGGGGGGGTAATTGTCCTAGGGGGAAATTGTCCGGGGTTAATTGTCCTTGGGGGGCGGGGACAGATTGTCCTAGGAGGTTATTTTCTGGGGGTAATAATCCTCTGGGTGTGATAGTCCTTAAGGGGTAATTGTCCTCGGGGGGGGGGGGGGGGGGGACATTTCCTGAGGGTTAATTTTCCAGGGGGGTAATTATCCTAGAACCGACTCAGAGGCCTAAAGCCATACATCCTGTTAACCCTTTAGGCCTACATGAACTTGTCATTTTATTTCTATTCAAGTACTACTGACATTTAGGATGGATATGCCTAAAACAAAAAAGCATGTGGAAGATGTATGTTGTACTGTGCATATTGCATGTATTGTATACATTATAATAGGGTTTATTGTGAATATCTGTGAGCATGGATACTTTCAATCCTTATTGCTCCTAAACAAAAAATATTATATCTCTGAAACTTTTATATGTTTTAGTGAACATGTCAGAGATTACATTTCACGAAAAATGTTGTCAAAGTTACGTGATCCACAAGGTCAATTTCAAGGTCAAATCTGAGGTCAAGAGGTCAAAGTACCCCAACATGTACGAATCTTCAAAATGGCGGCAGATTTGGAATCCTTATTGAATTCCCTTTCCAACAATACAAATTTTGTGAAGATTGACCCATTAGGTCCCGAGATACAAGGGTTCAAAGGTAGGCCCGCCACCCCCATTTTTGAAAAAATCTCAAAATTTGGTGGGCCGTATCTCCCAAACCCCTCACCCGATTGACCTAAAATTTGAGATTTGGTGCTGTGAGATCACACTCAACAAGTACACTAAGTTTCATCAAAATCAAAAATGGTCGGGTTAAAACCATTGGGTGATTTGACATGGAATGACCCTATAACTATGATATAATTATTTTATCATGGTAATTTAGGAACCTATCAAATTATTAAAAAGTATATTCATATGGACACCTGGCATTCCATACTTAGTCGGTGGATTAAACCATGGACTAATGTTAGTCCGCTTTCGAAAATACCACCCGGAACGTAGAAAATCAACCTCTGAAAACTTGCCCTGGCATTTGATAGATAAACGGTTATTGGTGTATGAAGAAAATAAAGGATGACATAAAACCCTGCAAATGGGGCACTATGCGTGCCATTTTCTATGAAAGTGTGTTAAGTAGTCTACTCAACAATACATTTTACTGTTCACTGGGAGTGTATTTTAACTCCAATATCTCTTTGTAGAAGAAATATGTGAAGCTTATATTTTGACTGCAGTATAGTCACTTGGAGCCCTCTTTCATCAACAGCAAAACACCTTTTGGTAATTGGTACACTTTAAAATGATGTAAAACTGGATCCAACATGGATACGTTTCAAAATTTCAGTTTGTGAAGAAATATTTCATTTGAGTTTTTTTTCTTGGTTATGAAGACGGCACAGTATCTAGATTAATTTTGCATCATTACTTCTTCTTACACTCAGTGAATACATGAAAATATTATACTGAATAAGAATTCTTAGCACCTTCTACGGAAGCTTGAACATGCAATGAGAAGGCGACTTGTTCATCTTACCGAGTAGCCTTGTTAAAAGCCCCACTGCACTAGTTTGGGCACTGTTATGCACAACTGCCAAAGGTTTGTGTCTGAAAACTAGTAGTTAGGCAGGGTCATACTAAAAAGACATTTCATAATAATTTATTAAATAAAAACAAATAAATAACTGAGAAACGTTACTCCCAGAGTTGCCCTGCCTACATTTACTCCAAAATTTTCCAAACTTATTAGATATCGCTATAGCACTTCTAGAGAAATTGCGGATGTATAAAATCACAATACTAACCCAGAATAAATAATACTGTATTACTTAATCTCATCACAGATTTAAAGTTACTGTTATGATTGAGTTTAAGCCCATCTGCACTAGTTTGGCCAGGAGGGATTAGAACTCCCTGCATGGTCACTGACAGGTGGTTATCTCATCAAAATCAGCTCTCAATTAACATAAGAAAAAGAGGATCATGGGGGACCAATGGTCACCGATTCAGCATTGTTTGCTATATAGAGGGCGCAAGTAGCTGTAAGTAGTGCAGTGGGGCTTTAAAGCCAAGAAGGCCAAAAGGTGAGTGGTTAAAACTCACCGAGATACCTTCTCGCCTCGGCAAATTTAACAACTAGCAGTCTCGTTCCGAAAACAAAGCGCTTTGGGGAGTTGAACAAGTCGCCATCTTGCCTTAGGGAGTTTTAATAACCCACCTTCTCCTTTTAAACATGGCACCTTGACGAGTAACACAAGTCGCCTTCTTACTGCAAATTCAAGCTTCAGTCAATTTTTAGCATATCATGAAAGAATGATTTTCCCCAATTTTTTCTCTGATGGACTCTCAATTTTTTAACAAACCGATGTGTAAAGGAGGACTTTAATACACTAGAAAAGCCACCATGGGCAATCATTGATTAATTTCCACTGGAAATGCCGATTGGACAAGAGACATAACGCAAGAGAGAGGAAGAGGAGAGCAAATGAGAGAGATAGAGATAATGGGAGAGAGAGAGAGAGAGAGAGATAGAAAGAATGGGAGAGAGAGAGAGAGAGAGAATGGGGAGAGAGAGAATGGTGAAGAGAGAGGGGGGAATTGTGAGAGACAGGCAGACAGACAGGGGAGATAAATTGAAAGAGATGCAGAGAGAAAGACAGACAGAGACAGAGAGGGTGAGAGAGAGGTAGTGGAGAGTGAGAGGGAGAGGGGGGGGGGGGGGGGGGGGGGAGGGGGAGAGGGGGAGAATGGCAGTTGAAGGGCTAGTGAAAGGGTGCAGAGAAGTAAAGAAAGAGGGAGACGGAGGTGGGAGATGGAGTGGAGAGAGAGAGAGGGGGGTGCAAGAGACACAGAGATAAAGATAGTGAGAGAAAGACACAGGCAGAAAGAGAGAGAGAAAGAGAGAGAAAGTTTATAGACTGGAGAACATGTACTTAGATGAACGTTACATAATCATGAAAAGCTATTAAAGCTGGAGAAAGAAAGAGTAAAAATATACATGTATAATGCACCACGTTGCTGCATAAACAGAAAATTTCAAGTAAGGGCATTTATCAATAAAAAAATATATTCTTCTTCTTCTTCAACATAATACTCTTGCAAAGAAAAAATAAATTGCATCAAAATACCAAATCTTGCACCAGAGCAATACATCTTATATAGAATCAGGGCGCACTAAAGTCAAACTATTATAGTTGCTCATGAAAAATAAAAATAGCATTGGATACTTTTGAACTATGATATTAAACCAGTAAGTGGTGTTGTAAAAAATAGAAATTAAGATTGCCCCCCCCCCCACCCAAAAAAGAAGTAATAATAATAAATAAATAAATATGTAGAAAAATAGAAAAACAAATAAACTATTAGTTGACTCTTTAAAAAGGCTTTTAAAAAATGTCAACATTTTTCATCATTCTTTTTAGACCCTTTTGGTTTTCGTTATGGACATTCTAGTACATGTATTTGAATGACAATCCAAAACTGTGGATTGTATTTCAACAAATTGACTTGACTTGATTAAATTTGATTTCACTGTGATCTGTAGACATTCATAAGTAACTGACCGGCTTATCAATAGATTTCATAACTCTTGAAAGTTAATACAGCGTACTGGCCCAAGTGCAAAATTATACCAACACCCACCTGCATCAATGTTTCAATGGTGATTTCATAAAACTAAATAATATATCATATTTAATATTAATTGAATTCTTATGGGGTGTATTCCTTTCCAAGCATGTAGATAACTACTGATCGGCACATAATATTTCAGACGACGATAAATGTGAAGGAGACAATATTCTGGGAGATTTTTTGATTAGAATTGGTGAGGCATAAAAGAAGGGCTATGAAACTGGTGAGGCCTACCCATCGGTGTTGGGACTCCCATCGGCGGCGGGCGGTTCTGAGCCAGCAAGCCGAAAGGCTGACCTACGTGTCTCTGACCCATGTTCCCGGCGTGTAGCACACTTTCCTCCGAGGGCAGCGATGCATTGCCATGGAGATGGACGGTCGGGGCGAGGCCGATGCTGTGGTTCAAGGTGGACGCGTCCGAGACGTGACTGCTGGACGCCATCTGGGGGGCATCGTTGAAGATGTTGTTGAAGTTGAAGGGCGGTTGGGTCACGCTGCCGGGAAGCTGGTTGGGCTTGGCGATGTTGAAGCCACCCGGAGGCTGGTGCTCATGAAATACAGGGAAGTTGGCAGGCATGCTGTGGATTCCCGCTGTCCGTGAAGGGGTGAACATGGGATTGAAGGAAGCGGTGATGTCCGCCTCTCGGGTGTGACTTCCCTTGGTATGAGGAGGACTGGGAAGGATAGGTCCTGGTAAATGAGACGGGAGGTAGGTGGGCATCTCGTTGTGTCTCAGCCGGCGAGATGGAGAGATGTTGGAGATGAGCGATGAAGTGGTGGACGACGATGAAGGAACACTCTCTGATTGGCTCTGGGAGGTCTGTGAGCTAGAGAAGTTGGGAAGGAATGTGGGAGGAGCAGTCTCGTTGCTACTGGACGCGTTCGTTCGTGTCGACCCACCGAACCAGGGGTCTTGCAGCAACGATATTGATGTACTGCGAGTTCCGTCGATCTCGTGCGGGTCCCGGGCGAAAATACTGTCTGAAGGATTCGGGGCTCGCTTCTTGGACCGATTGCTCTCCTGTACCCTCCCGCCTCCTCCACCTTGTGAAGGGTACATGATGAGCTGGACTTCCCCCCTGTCAAAGACACTTTCAGCAGGTTGGATTGGTGTATGGGAAGTGGACGAATGAAACTGCTGTGACTGCTGGTTGCTGTGGATGGAAGAATGCTGTCTGGACTCTGAATTGGATTGTTGGGTGGCTCTGCGGCCGGGATGCATCGCACCATGTGCTTTCTTGGCTATGTTCAAGTGGTGTCCATCTGCGGCTGCTCTCTTGATCCCCTGTCCTGGATGGCCACTCTGCACCATCGGAGACTGTGTCATTCTCCTCTGCTGCTGTTGCTGCTGAGACGGTGTCTCAACGCTCGGAGGACCTCTACTGCTAGAGTTTGAATGTGGCATTTCATTCATCTGTGACATATGGCTACCTTCCTGGACATTATAGTTCATTGGACTTGCCTGCATTGGACTTGGTTCCATGGACGCTACACTCGACCTACCACTTGGTACAGAATAGGCTTGGTTTTGAGGGGTCTGCCGGTCAGTTGGTGTATGCTGCTGCTGTTGATTAGATGACGAAAAGGGCGGTAGACTTGAGAAATCTAAATCATCGCCTGACCCAAGATTAGATGCATCTACGTAATTGACGTTAACGCAGTTGTTGCCTACGCGTTGATGTATCTGCTGCATAGGGGGAGACGCAAGTTCTTGCATCTTTTGGGAATTCCCCCTTGTGTTTTCCCTATCTTCTGTCTGTTGAGGCTCTAGGTTCCACTGCGAAAATGAGAAATTATCTTGGGAAACATTAGAAAAGTCACTTTGCAATAGAGTGTTAGAATGAGATGAATCAACTCTGGATTGCTTGTCTGCAGTTCGTGGCCTACCACTAGGTCGTTGACCCGGTTGATCAGACTGTCTTGAGATCAAAGAATTCACCGAGGAGTTCTCAAAGATATCCATATTGACAGAGGACAATGAGGGTGGGAAGCTTGGGCTGTTTGATGTAGAGTTCAAGAAATCTAGGCCATCGTCTATATCTGATTGCCTCAATATCTGGCTTGATCCCCCAGCCTTTGGACGCTGAGAACCCTTCTTTGTAGTGGAAACATTCCTGTTCTTCTCTGGGACTATGGGATTACCGGTCATGCTTTTGGCTAGAAGGGCCTGTTGTGCTGCTTTGTTGACTGCAGCATTGACAGCTGCTTGCACGTAATTTGAACTTGAACCTTGATACAAAGGAGGTCTGTTGTTTCCTGTACTTGGTCTATTTTGCAGAGTTGTGTCCATGGAATTGGGATTGTTTTGATGGCTCAGATCAACAGGAATCTGATGATGTCTTTGAGTCCTTTCCTGAGAGGTTTGCTTGGGCGAGATTAAGGAGGAAGAAGAGGAAGATATTGGTGCAGTGGAATCGAAACTGGAAGGATTCCATAGAGATTGATTATGAGAGTCACCTGAAACTGTAGGAGGCCTTGAAGGGTAGGGAGGTGGATTCTGGGAAAGTTCTGCCTGACCTGAATTGCCTCTAGCTTTTGGTAGAGAGTTCTTTGAAGAGCTTTGGGAGATGCTCTGGACACTAAAGGCTGTTGGATTGGTATTGCTTGTGTGTTGGCTCATAGTACCTGCTTGTTTCTCCCCTGGTTTTCCATTAGCTTCGGCAAGCCAAGGGAATCTATTGACAAGCGCCGGTTCAAGTTCTCTTCTGCCAACACTGTCTAGATCTTCCTCTGGTGGCTTTGGGGTTCTATCTGTTTCTTTTCTTTCTGTCTTTTCTTTGATCCCTTGCTACTCTTTGACTTAGCAGATGGCTGTGGGGCAGGTAGCTCAGGGGGTGCAACCTGCACAGCAGTCTGTTGTAAGTGTTGTTGTTGTTGTTGTTGTTGTTGTTCCTGAATTACGCGAAATGGCAATTGCTGGGGTGCTTCCTGTGCCGGCTCTGGCTGCACCTGGGCAACAGGTTCTTCAACCTGGTCTTTTTCTAAGCCACCTTCTTCTGCAATATTAGCAGTGAGTGTTCTGTGAAGAGTTGCTGATGAAAATTTCTTCACTGGTAACTGAGATTGTTTTTTACTGGCATTTTTCGCATTGGCATTGTTCCTTTGCCTCACTTGAGAAGCTGGGGGAACTGTTTGTACACCAAAGATGTTGTTATTCGCTTGCACAGGAGGCGATTCTTGCATGGCAGCAGATGCCAATGCCCTGCTTTTAGGATGAAGGTAGCGACTCTGGTTACTGCTAGAAACAGGTCCAACTGCAGCAACAGGCCTGTTTTGTTGCTGGGCTACATTCTCAAACACTTGTTCATTGGTTGGATTGCTCTCTACATCATTTGTGTCAGGCACTTTAGGTACATTCTGGGCGACAATGTGGGCAGGTGTAGGGGCTTTCCTTTCTTTGTATTTATCAACTACGGCCGTCACTCGATTCATCAATGAATAGCTTGGCGGTGCATTACTTGGCTTTGATGAACTACTAGAAGAAGTTTCCTTGGTTTGTCTAAAGGAGGTTCATGGAAAACTGAATTCTGCTCCATCACTGGGACGGAAGAACTGCTGGATGATTGAATGGAATACGGAGGAAGTCCTAGGAAGTTATCCCTGATATTGGAGTGGCTCTGGCCTTGTTTGAATCAATGATGCTTGAAATACTTTGGAATGGGTCCCCGTTTGATGCTGTCTGGGAGACTTGTCTGGTTTCACCAAATGGAGGCAAACCAAACAATGATTCCAAAGAGGGCTGGGATTTGGGAAGAGAGCTAAGAACAGGTGAAACCTCTGTATTAGACTGTGACGATGTAGAGACCTTCGGCCCAGAGAGTCCTTGAAGAAGGTCCGCTAATTGCTGCTGTTGACGCAGGTTGGCGCTTCCCAAGTCCTGTTGGCTTGCTGCATCTGGCAGGTTATCTGCTGTAGATGCATTCAACCATGGCTGCGACAACAGGTTCAGCGGTGGTGAAGACTTACTTGAATTACCCGTATGTGTACCCAGCACTGACGTGCTAGGGTGTGAGATATTTACTAATGGGCTTGTACTCACAGCCATGCTTGGAGAAGTAGCTAGCGTTGTGCTTGTCGTACTCATTAGGGTTGATGTGCTGACTGGGGACTGGGATTTCGCTGGCTGCATTCCCCGTGCCAACTCCGAAGCTTTAGAGTGATGTGAGATCCAGCTATGCTGGAAAGGTCCCCCCGATGTTCCTGTGAATCCACTGGTAGGAGAATCATCTTTTTGGCTGCTCGGTGGAAGTGACGAAATGGAAGCCTCTCTCTCTGCATTGGTAGTTTGCTCTAGAAGGCTACTAATTGATGGGAAGCTGGTCGGCGACATGAAATTGTGGAAGCCATCAGAAGTAGGCGTCGTCGCTACTTTGGATGAATCTGGTGTCTTTTGCTCGGGCGGAATCATCCTCTCTGTGCTCTGAGAAAATGCGAGCGACAATGAATTACTTGGCTGGTTCTGAGTACAAGTGCTTGATGTTACAACGGATAATGTGGTTGGGATATCCACACTGGCTGTTGAGGTGCATGGTGGGCCTTCAGCAGAGTTGTTTCCAGAAACCATGTCTTCCTCATCATCGATGTACGTCGGAAGACCACTCACGCTCATTGAATTGCTTAGAATGTCGGCTCCGAAATTCAGAGGGTTGAATGAATTGAAGATTGTTTGCCCATTTGTTTCTGATGAAGAAATAGATACAGAAGATGCTTGCGTAGCGTCCATCTGACTACCTACTAAATTGTCTCTAGAACCTGAGTTCAATAAGGCTTCTGCCGAAAAACTGGACATTTGAACACTTCCATTTGATGACACCGGGATATCACTCTGCAACGACGTGCTTGCTGGAATTTTCATCACATTCTCTGCACTGCTACTGTTGTCCATGCCTCCTGTACCCAAAGTTTCTTGCATGAGACTCTCCAACAATGCTTTGGTGGCCATCTCTTGAGCGTCACCGACATCAGCATTGTTTTCGGAACTAGCAACCGTGGGCAAAGGAAAATTAATCTTCTTACTCTTCTCTTTGTCTTTGTCTTTCTTCTTTTTCTCTTTCTCTTTTGACTTGGATTTTTTCTTCTTTTTCTTCTTGTGTTTTTTGCTGGATGATGTATCCATTTCGTCAGGGAGATCATAGATCTCAATTCCCGGCTGAGTTGCCTGGTGGCTGTACACTCCATTAGTGTTTTGATCACCGATTGATTGGCTGCATGCAGGTGGGAATCATTCAGATCTCCAAGCTGCATGGGCGATGTGTCGGAGAGGTTGGAGAATATGCTCTCTGTTGCTTTGGCCAGTATGTCATTTGCAGCAAAGCCACCGTTACCTTGCAATCTTCCTTGGTCATTCTGAGTTGCTGAGGTTTCAATGGCAAGAGAGGTCATCAGGTCATTACCCTGAAATGAGGTTGAAACCATCTGGGAGGAGGAGGAAGATGCAGGCATTGAGGTACCAGCTAATACATGTGCCTGACTAGTGCTACCAGGAGCAGACTGGGACATGGTAATACCACTGGAGGCAACAGCAGATACCGATGCGGCGATATGGTGGCCGGCACTTTGCATGGTGGCAGCAGACTGAACCGGTTGAGTGGTGAGGCTCTGGGACACATGCATTTTCACAGCTTGCTGCTGCTGGGGTTGTTGATGAGGATGTTGCTGAGGTTGCTGCTGCTGCTGTGTCTGACCTTGAATTATGGCACCAGGCTGTTGGACACCCTGCTGGACATTACCCTGGTTTTGCTGCAAGATCACAGGGATGAGCTGTCCATTCTGCTGGATGTACACAATGTTCTGTGTTACCGGAGGCTTAGGTACCACCTGCATAGGCATTTGCATGTTCACACCGCTTGAAAGGACAGTATTTGATGGCTGTTGCAGGATGAGCTGGCCCTGGCTGTTCATCATGACCGCACTTTGTTGATTGGCAGTAGGGTTCATGGGTAGTCTCACTGTGACAGTGTTAGGAGCTATGGGTTGCACACTGGATTGCGATGCCGCTATGGGGGAGTTTGGCTTGCGAGAGTCTGGCTGCAGGGGGCATAGATTCTTCACCTTCAGTTGGGCAGACTGTTTCTTCTTGACCGGTGTCTTTGGTTGGATCGCGTTGCCTCGAGTCCCAACCACGTTGACACCCTGCTGCGAAGTAAGAATGACCTGCTGTGGTTGATTGACCTGTTGTGCAATGCGGACCGGGATGAACTGTCCAGGCTGACCTGGTAACTGAATCAGGACAGTCTGGCCCTGTGACTGGACCGGCTGCTGTTGCTGGACAAGCCGCACACCACCGCCCGTCCCAGACTGCAGGAGAACTTGGTTCTGGGAGGCTGGAGTGGTGATTGGGGTACTTATAACCTGCGTGACCGCCGTTGTATTCTTTGATTCTGCGGTAGTGGTGCTCACTTGCCCCATAGTGCTTTGATTCGAAGCCTCATGTGTGCAGGTAATCGCCGAGATGGCTTGTCCTTCTTGGCTTGCAGCAGACATTGCTTTAGTCTCCACAGCTTGGCCCAAGGGCTTTGGTGGAAGTGGAGACTGTCCCTCTGCTTCTGGTCTTTCATTGCCGACTACACTGATTTGATTGTTTGTTAAGGTCAGCGTGGGCTGGGAATCGGTCCCTGTCCTGCTCGTTGTCACAAGCAACATTCCTCCGGAGTTACCGCCAGCCTGTAACACGCTGCCATCGACCCTGTTCCCACCAGCCATGGGAATCGTCATCTGATTAGTGGGCATGGTGACTAGGTTCGGAGAGCCCATGACTGCAGCGGTAGGGGATTGAATGATAATGTTCTGACTGCCTCCCAAGAGTTGCTCAGAAGGGTTTTCCCCTAATTTGGAATTCCTCTTTGCTTTAGACTGCATGACAGCCTTCATGTGAGTTCGTATGTCAGTGTTGATATTCATGCTCTTGAAGAACTCCGTCCAGTCTTCTTTCTCCTTCTTCAGCTTTGCGTTCTCCTCCATAAGTCGCTTGATTTCGTCAACTGTAAAGAAAAGAAAAGAAAAGAAAAGAAAGGAAATTAGGTTTCATCTTTGGAATGATAGCCTAGTAGCCTACCCCACTTTATTCACTTTTATTCTTTACTTATTTTCTGTTATATGTTACTAAATGTACATGTATGTATTGATATTTTTGATGATGTTTATATTGTTTATATTGTTCAAGTAGTTCGTATCTTCATATATGTTACATTTGTTTACAAGGCCCCCTGGAAAACGTTACTTTGATTACTGACAGGGCTACCCTGTTTAAATAAAACGGAATAAATAAATAAACAAATAATTTCAAAAATTTCATTTTACTACTCCATATATCAATCACGATAATATGTAAGATTTGTAAGGACACAAATTCACTTGAAATCAAATGCTCAATGCACACTAGTGCAAAAGATGAAAACACTTAAAAAGCATCGGTATTATACACAAAGAACAGCAGGAGTTTGATAGAATACAAAACAACTATCACAAAGTCTCTTTTATTTTTTTAAAATATTTTTTAAGTATGGGAATGGTTAATTCATTACTCTGAAGTGGGGTGAAATGAAAATACTCCCCAGAATTTTTTCAGGAATATTGTCTGCTGACATAAAACTTCATATTCAATACCTAAAATATTCAAATATGGTTAGTTGCCAGGCATTACACCACAATGACACTACCCTTCTGCACAAATGAATATCCATGATGCAGTGATCTCCAGGGTCCTGTTTCATCAAACTTGATATCAATAACAAGATACAAGCTACTGTTATAAGCTACTGAAATCATGGCATCTGATTGGCTGAGACCAAATTTGTCATAGAAATTTAGCAGTTGTTATGGATAACATGTTTTATGAAACGGGCCCCTGGTTCTAATATCCATAATTTAAAAAAAAAAAAAATTCTTGTCATGAATCTTGCCCTGGTTCATAAAACTTGTTATCAATAACAAATGCAAAGTTTTTTTATGGCAAATTAGCTCTTAGCCAATCAAATGCCATGATTTTAGTAGCTAATGACAGTTATTGTATCTTCTTATTGGTAAAAGTTTTGTGAAACAGGCCCCTGCTTACAGGCGATTTCATGCCATACGACAGCAATACGTTTATTTTATCCATATATTTCATCCATGAATGTAAAATCTTTGATCGAACCATGGTCAGAGTTAGTGATTCTAGAAATCAAAATTATTCAATGGTCATATAAAAAGATGAGATGAAATATATAGGTGAAAGACTTACAGTCAACAACTAAATTATTCAAACCCCATGTAAATTTGATGTTTTTTGTCTTTTTAGTAACTCATGGATGAAAGGGAGACTGGTTGAATTAAGGCTTTTGTTGAATAAGTTTAGATGTATTGAGCTGTAATATGTAAAAATCTGAAGAAACATGAATCTGGACAATTTAAAAAAAATATATATTTAAAAAATTACAAAACTTGGTAAGGGTATGAATAATTTAGTTCTTAACCCTTACTGTACTGGGGGGGGGGGGGGGGCCTGGGAGGCCCCCCCCCCTCGACATTTTCGGAGATCGCGACGGCTCGCTGTGTGGTCTAATCCCTTCTTGCCCAGTAGTGGTGACGGTCTTTAAAAAAGTGGAGTCTGACAATTTTTGTAATGATTCTAGTTCCCTATATATATTTCCAGATTTTATTTCATGAATGCATATTCATAATTTTTGTGCAAATTAACCTATGCATTTTCAAAAATCATAAAAATAATGAAACCTCATGAATTAGAGGTGAAGGAAACATTTAGTCAATACATTTTCAAGATTCTTCACAAGTCTATGGACAAATATGTAGAGTTTTCTGTAAAATGCATAAAATTAGCATTTTACATAATTAGGCTATAACGACAAAAATTTGCATATTAGGAAAAAACTTATTATACCATCTTGTTCCTTACGTAAATATCTACAAACATGCAAATTTTCGCGTTCATCGGACATTCGACGCCGCCCCCCCCCCCCCCCCCCCCCCCCCCCCCCCCCCCCCCCCCCCCCCCCCCAGAGAGAGTGCTCGAAATAGCCCAGTACAGTGAGGGTTAACCGTACGTTGTACAGGACATGTTGACAGAATCGACGTTCTCCAATTATTCAGGGGGGGGGGGGGGTTCCAGCTTTTTTCTTCAGCATATAATACTATGAAGAGAAATGGGTCGTGGTTCTATAAAATAGGTCGCTACATCAATGGAGTGTTTCACAAAGACTAAGATCGACTTAAAGGCATCGTTTAACAATGTTAAATCTGAGATGCAAGGCCCTACAGTGTACATGTTGTCAGTGTCTGTGATGGTGTAATATTGAAGCCCTAAAGAAATTGCGCTTCAAAAAGATCATGAAGTGCCTCAAAAAGTAAATATCTTTGAGTGACCAGTTTTACCATACTCATTTCTCCCAATAGACTGCGGTGTTACGAAAACCGTTCGGAAAACGCAAAATTCGATTTTGATTTTCAATCATAAATATCTTGATAATCAGACAGGCGATCGACTTGTAAAAGTCATGGGATTCCTGACTGACCTAAAGGTTTATTATTATCTGTGTAGCATGAGCTGAATCAAGGATCTTGTTTCAGAATCTTGCTTCAGAGTCTGAGGCAAAGTTACCTGATCCCTTCATCTATGGCAGGCCGTTCATGCCACTGTTTGCTCTCACCATTATGATCTTTAGATAATATTTTTCCCCTCAATAATGAATTATCAAAAATGTTAATTCTGTAGATTTGTGAGCATAATTTGTATGTCCGAGAGACCAATGCCAGAAAATGGTGAGAGCAAACAGTGGCATGAACGGCCTGCCATAGTGAAGTCCAACTTAAAGTCTATCTTAGTATTTGTGAAACACCCCTAAGGTGGTGGTTCTATAAAAGAGGTCGCTACATCTGGGGGTGTTTCACAAAGCCTTTTTTTCAATGACAAATGACAAACATCAGTGACAAATCTGCTGATAACCAATCAGAGGCAAGGATTTCAGTAGCTGATAACAAAAACTGTCATGTGTTACTGATGACAAGTTTTGTGAAACGGGCCCAGGTTTGTCTATTTACCTTCAGATTCTGGTGCATTCTGGATCATGAGCTGGTTGCATTTCTTCTTAAGCTCAACGACCAGTTGGTACGTGTCCTCCAGAATCTGGACCTTACTCTGAAATTAGGAAAATGAACAATGAAAATAAAAAGAAACAGAAAGTCCATTATTAGAAAGAATGTTTAGGGGATATGTCACTGGACTGTGGATCACATGGTTCCAAATTTGTTAAGACTGTTCTACTTCCTTTTTACCAACCATATTCTGTTTTTGAACTTATCTGAAATCTTATGTCTTTTATTTTCCACAAATGATATTGTTCATGATTATTACAAAACACGTTAAAGTTCTTTGTGAGTTTCAAGTTATGAGTACATTCCCTTAAGGGGAATGGTTGAGTTCTGTTTTCAGACCGCAAATGCCTTCGAAGTGCATGGTTATTGCTCTTATTCTTATCTATAACATTTCTAGTGCCCTTTTAGAACCTAAAATTGCTATGAAGGTAATTTTAGACCCCCAAATATATGAAATTTAGCCAATACGATCATACCAATTCAGCTCATTTTTCAAAAAAATATGGTGACCGTTAATTGATTATTTAATTAAAAATAACAATACATACATGGGCTGGCTGGTTGTGCGTAATATAACCAACACGAAAATGCCAACAAAAAGCCAACATCGGCATTGGCTGAAATACGACGTAAAAGGCGTTATTTCGGGTTTTTTCAACAGTTTTTTCAAATTTTTCAAAATATCTAATATTTGTGGTGGTACACAAGTATTAGAAATCGTTATATTTCAGCCGTCTCTGAACCGATTTTGATCGACAAAGATGATTTTGACATTTAAATATTATGTTCTTTCAAATTTGACACTCAGTTTTTCATTATCTCACAAAAAAATTATTTTGTGTAGTGCCCTCTGCAACAGAACTCAACTATCCCTTTAAGATAATTTTTTTTAGAAGTGACCCTGCAGTATTGAACTAGCTTAGAAAACTATCAAATATCAAAATGACAAGGACTCCTATTCCTGCCTTATCAACAAAAAAAAGGGGAATCAATTTAACTTGGTCTAATCATACTAAACAATTCAGATATCTTTGTGGGGTAAACACAAAGTAATTCAAAAGTGCCATAAAATCTTAAAAGCTGAAAGTAAAATATAATATCTGACAACTTTGTCCAGGTTTGAGAGTGACACATTACAAATAACAAACAATGTCTAAAGAGTAACTCACTCTTTTAGCATCTCGATCCGGTAGAATATCGATGAGTTTATTGATGCCTTCGTTGAGTTTGGATTTCCGTCTCTTCTCAATTTCAGCATGGTGGGATTTGCGCTTAGCCTTCTCCATGTCTTCCCTGTTAAGAAAGGAATTCAACATTTAGGATGAAAATAATGGTTGAGACATCTCTAAAAGATTTCCAGAAGAATATTAGATGAAATTGAATTTAAGATACAGAGGCCATTTTTCAGAAAGGAATTCAAAATTTAGGATGATAATAATGGGTGAGACATCTCTAAAACATTTCCAGAAAAATATTAGATGAAATTGAATTTAAGATACAGATTTCATTTTTTCAGAAAGGAATTCAAAATTTAGGATGAAAATAATGGTTGAGACATCTCTAAACATTTCCAGCAAAAAATAAGATGAAATTAGATTTAATATTCAGATTCTGTTTTATTGTCACTAATCTAGGTTGAAGGTTCCTAGTATTACACGACGTATAAACAACAACTGCATGTACATACATACAATCTATGATTGAATTGCCTAGCAGACATACAGGTACCCTGTATCATAAGATAGATTGCCAATTCGGAGTAAAAGAGGAGGGACAAGCACACAGAGAGAGAGGGATGAGGAGAAAGGGGAAGGGAGGTAGGGGTTGGGGAAGGTAAGAGGGAGAGAGGGTTAAAGAGAAGGTTGAGTTCTGGGAAGAGGTGAAAAATAATTTGTGAGCATTACTCATTCTTATTATGCAAGTGTGGAAGAACATCAGTTAAGACATGTTCCCTGAAAAGCATGGCTCTTCAAATGCCTTCATATTCTAAATATGCATGTAACATTGTAAAAATCGGGGGCCTGCTTTTTACGCCACATGTTTGTGTAGTCCCATATACATCTTTCTGTGCAAGTGTTTGTAACTTTACCAAGACTTGGCCAAATTTCTTATCATTTTGATGATTCCAGAACCTTGCAATACACACACATTCTTATATGCTAGATGATCAACCTTTTCTGGTCGGTTCCACACCGTTTCTTTCACAATGCATTCGCATGACCAGAACTCAACTTCATCTTTAAGATTGATAATTTATTTTTCTTACCCTTCCACATCAGTCGAGGTATCAAAGTTGGCCTCTAACATGCCAGCAGCATTGACCGTCAACAGCGCAGTTTGCAACGTATCTGAAAGGATCAAAATCAACAGTACTGTAAGTTAGGATCACATTTCCCCCAATGATGCATGGAACAAAATTTTAAAAAGAACAGTGAAAAAATACAAGGGGGCTTGGGGCGAAATAGCCCCCGAAATGCCCAAAAGAGCCCCCGAAAATCAGAAAAGAGCCCCTGTAAATTTGCATAGAGTTCAATGCAAAACAGATTTTAGAGTGTTAATTTCATGCAGGCAAGCTTGAAAAGTAGCCCCCGAAAAATAAATATTAATTTTTTCCCTGAAAAAGAAAGTCTGTTTAGTACATATTAGATACCGGTACAACAATACATGTCCTTCGCTTGTCCATGTTCGTCAACTGCTGTACGGCGCCACTAAACATGTGTCCCAATATGGATTCTTCATCCTAATGTCAACGAGAGACAAATAAGTGTTTAACTTTAAATGCCTACTTCCAAGTTAGATTTCCAAGGTATATTTAGTAACTTTCTTGATACCATTGGCAAGGATTAGGGATTTTACCCTTGTACAATGAAATTATTTCTTTAAATCAACCAAGTTTGGTAGTCTGAGTAAAACATGTTTTGTGAAATAGTGAAAACAATATACTGTACAGTTTGAACTACGTTATGTGCATCTGCAAAACTTAGACAAATATTTTTGTATGACAATTAAATGAAAATAAATAGGAGTAATAAAATTGGCAAACTACAAAGAAAAAAATGATTATCTTTTAATTAAAACTGACAAGTATTTCCTAAAGCTAAAATCTGCAATAAATTTGAAAATAATTTTCTCTTTAGATGGCTAGTAAATAAAATTTGTTGGCAATGTGGAGCTGGTCCACAACTTTAACTAATAAAAAGTAACGAGAGGCCATTTGCAAATTAAAAAAAAGACGGCCGTTTCATGAACATGAACATGTACAATGTACAGATAAGTCATTATGGAAATGCAGATGAACCGGTACATGTACACAGTACATGTAGGATCACTATCAGTACAGTGTACAAAATTACAGCCAGTGTAGCTCGAGCTCAAACATACATGTACTTTACATTGCATAGCAATGCTCTTGCAATGGCGACTAAACACTCGCTTTTTGAACTCCAGTAACATTTGCCCAGTCAGCCCAGGTCTACTTTCATAAAAACCAAGAGTTTTGGGTTGCAAATTACTCATAATCCTGAGCTGCAGAGAAACATTTTCTATGTACCATAGATTTTGGGAAAGAAAATGATTCACAAGCTCAAATGGATTTTAGGTTTTTAACGTTGAACCTTTCCTATATGACAAACTTTTTGCAAGGATGCTGTCATCTTAAAATGGATGAGCATCAACTTTCCAGTTTTTAAAACTAAAAGGTATCTAGGAGAATGAGGCAAAGGAGAAGGAGAAGAAGAAAGAGGAAAAGGAGGGGAAGGAGGAGGAGGAAGAGGGAGGAGGGAGGGAGGAAGAGGGAGGAGTGGGGGAAAGAGAAGGGAGGAGTGGGGGAAAGAGGAGGAGGAGGAAGAGGGAGGGAGGGAGGAAGGGAGGGAGGGAGGAAGAGGAGGAGGAGGAGGAGCAGGGGGAAGGAAGAGGAAGAGGAGGAGGGGAAGAAGGATGAAGAGTAGAAGAAGGAGAAGGAGGAGAGGAAGGAGAAGGAGGAGAAGGAGGAGTAGCAGAAGAAGAACACTAATGAAGAAGAAGAAAAATGAAGGAAAAACAGAAGAGGGGGAAAAAAGAAGAAGATCCACGGTAGATCAGTTTGTTGTGTCTGGACAGGTTGATTATATGAACGGATCAGTTTTCAAAGTTTCAAACAGTAAATCAAAATTTATTTTCATGTACACTTGCACTATCTATCTCTTGAATCTTTAGAAAGAAAGGCTAACATTGTATGGCAATAAATCTACATGTACCCTTGGTAGCAGGGCTCAAATTAATTTTTTTGTCCACGGGGGCTCTTCCAAAAAAAAAAAGAGCCCCTGTGAGCCTTCTTGGAGCTGTATTTTTCCTGTTACTGTAACATCAAGACTCAAGCGATGGTAAACATGACATCGTTATGTCACACACATTCTCCCTATCCATATTCTCAATGAAGAACAAAGTGGAATCTCAGAGGAGTTTCGTACAGAATGCATGACAAGCATTTTAAACAATCTACTGTACAGGACAGTTCTGTAAATTTCTTGTCATTTCACTGAAAGTAAATTTCATGCCAAGTCAAAAACTGAGGTTTAATCGGAGCAAATCCTTTTTTTAATATTATTTAGAAACACAAGAATGAATGCAAAAATTACACCTGCCATTTTTTCATTGCCGCCATTGGCGCTCTGCAAGTTTCAGGTTTCTGAATCGCCCGCTGGGGATGCGAAAAATGGATTCCGTGTATGATGGTTTGTCCATCTTCCCGAGAATTTATTGCTCATAATGTAAAAGTCTCTGCACAAAGTCAATGTAAAATGTATCAAGAAAATCATTGCAGAGTCTGTTTTTCGCATGGCCAACGTCTGCGAAAATGCGGACGATCCTTATTTATGAGGACTCATCAGTCCGCGGTTACGCAGATGATTCTTATTTTCGGACCAGTGCCCTTACTGTAAACAGTTAAAGCTGTTTTGCATTCTTCCCTCCCCCAAACTTGAGAAGACCTTTGGCTTCCTGACCAAGTTCAACCTTAGCTCAGAGCCTCAGTCGTCAGCTCAGAGTTGTCAGCTCAGAGTTGTCAGCTCAGCCTCAGGTCAACTATTCTTTTCTAACTGACTTGTGTCCTTCAGTTCTACTTCTAGATCTAGATATTATCTCGACAAGATTCTCTGTATAATTTAGCAATTATTATTAGGCTACTGTTGGTGGAAAAGCAATAGGGCCTAGATCTACTATCAATATCACTCCCATTCACAATCACATGCATGATGAATGTCATTGTCGGTGACAGCGACACTCGACTCGAGCGATTGCATTGGTTTACTACACGAGAGTCCATTGATTCACGCACACAAAACAATTTTACAACAAAACTTACTGTCGGCATCTCCGTTAACGAGATTCTCCGCCATCGTTGTATTCTCTTAGAACACTATTGGCTTGACTCGGGAAGATATTGATACGTAACAATGAATATCAATCACAAATGCATTAAAAATGGTCATGCTTTCGGCTCCAAAACTTCGTTACACGGCAGTGAAAATGTAGTTGTTTCTTGTGGCGTACGCTTTTTCGCCATCTTGAAAATTGCTTGAAATGTCCCCATTCGAACAATAGATGGCGCTCAACCCTTTTCGGAAGGGCAGTTTCGAGATCCATGGTACATGTATTAGCATGATCGAGAAGATGCAAAAATATTCCGACAGGATTAAAATAATATTTGTGGGAATATTTTGTTAACAATGAATAAATAAATAATAACAATAAAAAGATGTTGAAATTGTTTTTCATGTTCATAGGTAATCGTATTCTTCTTTCAGATGGATAGAAGTAAACATAAGAGGGTACTATAGTGATCCAGGGGGGGGGGGGCGAAACGGCCGCCCCCCCCCCCTTATTGGCGGCGCAAAAAAAGGAAGAAAAAAAAGAGGAAGAAAAGAAGAAAAAAATAAAGGAGAAGAGGAGAAAAAAAAAGGAGAAGAGAAAAGAAAGGAGAAGAGAAAGGAAAAAAAGAAAAAGAAGATAAAAGAAAAGATAAAGAAGAAAGCCCCCCTCCCCCCCCCTCCCCCCTCCCACTCCGGGGTCGGAGGGACCGAATTTGTGTTCCCAAAATTTCCGATAAAGAGTTAGTTTTCACGTAACAAAGTCCGGCCCGTAATACAAAAAAAATCCGGCCCGTACTGACTTTACACACCTGGAGATAGAGGGGTGCTTTCAAAGAGAGGGAACATACATGTGCGTACCCTAGATAGCACTGAGTGGGTTGGGGGGGGGGGGGGAAAGAAAAGTCGGGTGAGAAAGGGGGAAAGACAAGGAACAGTAACGACGAATAAGGGAAAACTGTAATCGGGAGATTTGGGGTCATTCCAGAAGGCTTGGCAAACGTTATTGAATAGAGGGGGGCTGGACCGGCCGCATAAAAGAAACATTTTTGAAAATTCTGGCAAGTCGAGAACGGTACAACGAATCGTCTTCTTTCTCTAATAATTTAATAAAATGTCAAAGCGTCCGCGCAACGCTCGGGAGAGGGGCAACTGAATTCAGATGGGGTAATAATTATTTCAGATATAATTATTATTGCAATTATATAGCAAGAGGCCTATTAATATCAATGGACTACCTATAGGGTAAATATGACAAAAAATTAATCGACCTAATATTAGAAAATGCATGGTAGGCATAATCAGTTCGGAGTCAACAGTGACATATCTATAAATGGGGCTGGCGGGAGGGGGTGGGCGGGGATGCCCCGCGGGCGGAGCTTGAGGAGCTTGCAAAAACAGAAAGGGGGAAATAAGAAAGGGAAGAAAAAGTCACAAGCTTTGTGTAAATTGAATGAGATATCGAAGAAAAAAATTAGGGCCTAAGATGTGCACATTTGCTAAAACTCCGTCGCTTTACACAAAACAAACTTGAGGGTGGTTGACCCCACCCCCCCCCCCCCGGGTACGCGTCTTCTCTCGCATATGCTGCTTCAGAATCTCGTAATTCTGCATCCCAATCTAAATCAAAGCTGATAAATATCATTTTTAAAGGATTATACAACAATTGTTGCTTTGCTTTTAAACTGCAGTGTAAAAAGAGCATTTTAAAAGAAATCCTAACTTATCGTTACCTTTATAAATTCCTCCAGAGTTTTTAATTTTGTGCCCCAGTTGAAGAAGAAATTATTCATTATGTTCAAAATTCGCAATTCAACGGTCGGAGCGGCTCAGTGGGGGATCCATTTGGATTTTTAGAGTTCAAATATTCAACCCAGCATCACTTTATTACATGCCCAAATAGCATTGTATTTAGGTGCTGAATATCATTTTATTCGGGAACCAAAATTAATGATGCCCTATATACTATTAATAGCTATAACAGTATAAAGCGAGGGACTTTTTGTTATGATGAAATACCATTTCAAGGATATCAAAGAGCCCATTTTTGTTCCCTCGCCAGGGGCGGATCAAGCTTTTTGCACACACAAACAAAAAAATCGCGCCGTTTTACTGTTTTCCTTTTTTTTTCTTTTTCACTTGGCCGTCCAAGGGGGGGGGGGGGGGATTTAAACCGCCGAAACACCAACCCCCCCCCCCCTAGATCCGCCCCTGTAAAAGGTCGCCTCGCTCGCTCGCAAAATCTAAAGATTGGATAACCCTTGGCAACGGGATGCTCGAAATTCTGATATTCGGGCAACGTGTTTTTTAATGATGATGGTATATTATTACTACAATTATTTTTCTTCTCGCTTGTAGAGTGTAGACAGGTTTGGGCAGAGCGCAATTTCATTGCTTGCCCTGGGTGGCGTTATTTTTTTCGGCGGCACAGATTGGGGTTAGGTGCGTGTTGAGCCTATGGGAAAGTTTAGGGTTAGGGTTAGGGTGAGGGTTAGGGTTAAATCAAGATCCCTTAAAAAAAAGCCCCAATTTGGGGCGTTTCAATACTGGGTTTACCTTTAATGCCGGGGGTTTCAATCATTTTCATGATTCCATAAGCCCGATCGACGTCCTACTTATAGCCCTAATCCAACAACAATTCAAAAAGTTAAATGGGGTTATGAAAATGACAACATTCAATAGTAAAAGTCTTAAACCCAAATGTTGTATACGCCCTCTACCTTTTACTCAAAGTGTCCTTTTTGTAAATGCTCCTTTTACGTTTTTAGCAACATCCATGCGCCTTGAAAATACAGCCTTTGATTATTTCACAACGTTGACCTACTTTCAAATATTTTCTCATTGGGCACATAAACGACTTAACCCTAAACAGGCCGGGCCGGGCCGTATTTGAGGTCTTAATACGGCCAGGGGGGGGGGGGCATTATGACCCCCTAAGATGTCAGCCTAGGAAGGTCCAACTAATCTGAAAATTAGTATGGTGATAGATTGAAGTATTGAATAAGATGGTAATGTTTATTTTCTTTTATGTTTATTTTGTATTAGTATTTTTATGACAATATATGCAAAGTTTTGGGGGAAATAAACTTACACACGCATATTTGTGAGAATTACATTATGTTAGACATGTGATGATGTTGATTCCATGACATTTGCTCCGGCGACAAATTATTGCTCCGCTGTAAATTTCATACACTAATCGAATGGCTAACTTCAACCCTGGATTCAACACTATACCCTAAACCTAACCCTAAATCTAACAATACATAAAACCCTATTGAAACCCTAACCCTACATCTTAGACGAAATAAAGCCCGGAGCAATTGTCGCAGGAGCAAATGTCGTGTCACCGATGAGATTGTCACCTAACACCCGAACCACAGGTTCGCCCATAACAAATTTGGTAACAAAATGTGCGGGAGAACAGTGACGGATCCAGGGAGGGGGGGCCGCCCCCTGGAAAGAAAACGTGTAAAAACACGTGATTTGTACCTTGGGGGGGGGGGGGGATGGCCCCCCTGGCGCTCAAGGGGGGGGGGGGGGTGCAAATTTTCAAATTTTCGAGAGCCCCCCAAAAAAATTGTGCTCAATTGATGCAGCGACAAAAATTCGACAGGGGGTGGGGGGGGGGGGGGCATTATTGCCCCCGGCCTTATTAGGGTTAAAGATGTTTAAAAAGAGAACATTTTAATCAACATTATGTAATACCCTTCCCCCCCCCCCTCCACCATCACATGCAAGAAAAAGATAACTGATGATAGTATGATAATTATTATAATTTAGGCCATCATTAATGATAAGCCTTTTCATACTCTCTGCTAATAAATTATCTTCTGAATACTGTTTAATATTTTATTGTTCACGCTAATATTGGACTGGGGAGGGGGGTGGGGGGGGGGGGGGGGGGGGGGGCAAACAGATACTCGCAGAATACGCGCCCGTTTCTTCTAATTCTATGCACTTTTCGACGTGCACGAATCTCTCTACGTACGTATATGTGTATTATAATGTATTCAGAGCTTTCGTCTGCATATTGTCACATGTTCACTCTTTCTCTCACATGACCAACTTGTTTGGCCCCGTGACTTGCGTTAGAAATCCTGATTCGTTTTTGCTTTCCCACACGTTTCAACCACATGGATGTACTTGATCAGACACTAGACCAAGGGTAAGAACAGAAATATATAGTTTTATGCTTGACAAAGGTGTATTTTTCACTGCTTTTTCGATGGTTGTTGTCCTGTCGTAGTGTATTTCCTGTGTAAGTTTGTGTGTCGAGCTGTTCTATAGCGTATAGCTGTAGACTTGATCGAGACGACTTGTTTGAGATCGTTTTACGTTGCATGCATTGCATGGGCATGGCGTTGTGCGATTGGTCCTTTGTTGTTTCGCCGGCTAGCTGGTATGTGCATGCACTGTGTAATGTGTTTGTGTTGTATGCGATGGCGCTGGTCGAGCTGGCCTGCATATTTATATATATGGTAACGTCAACTGATCAATTTAACACCTGTTTAAAATGTGACTTTAGAGTTTAATCCTTTTTTTTTAGAGGTCTTTTGTTTTTAGAGAAATTTCCAAGTTGAAACAGCCTCAAGATCTACATTAAAAACAGCTCACATACTGTAACCATAATCATAATCGCAAAAGGAAGTCTTCCTGTTCCTTATTTCTATTCTTAATCTTATAATAATTACCTCCAGGGAGCCAAAGGCGTCGGAGCTCCAGTGCGAAAACTGAAACAAAAATCAAACAGCGGTTGTGGCGACATTTTCCCGAAATGTGTAATGATTGATAGTAGTTACAGATTCTGACTTACAGTGTTTTCGACTCCTCTGGGCATGTCGCACCACACTTGAAATCATAATTTGAAGAAGTCTATGATGGGAAAAGGGGTGATTCCTCGTCCTAAACCGAGCCATCCATGTTGTATCGTCAACATGGCGAAGAGAAAGTATGCATGCGCCGTAGCGGCGCAGCAAAAATGACTATTCAAGGACCGAGTAACCTTCGAGTCGAGCATATTTAGCATTTTCAAGCGAATAAATTCAAGCTCACAAATTCAAGGTCAAAGGTCATTTTAGGTCAGTAGACTTGAATTATGTTTTCCCAACTTAATATGAGAATTAATAAATCATTTTTTGTTATTTGTTTATACTCCATTAAAGAAGTCATCAATCTTGGTACAATGATAGTAAATAATTCTTCTGATGATTCTTAGTCAATATTGTTATATTCATGTTTTTGTGTCATAAAGGTATTATTCCTCCTAGTCTATCAAACAAATTTCTTTTAAATTCTGAAGTACATTCATATATAACTAGACAATCATCTCATTTTCATTTACCACTTATCAAAACTTCTGTCTCTAAAAATTCAATTTTCTTTAAAGGACCAATTTTATGGAATGAGTTACCTCCTAACGTTAAATCAAGCCCAACTCTGAATACATTTAAAAGAAGATACAAACAATTACGTTTTTGTGAATAGTATTTTATTAGTTTTTATATATGCAATCAGGTTTTAGATGTTAGGTGTTAGTTGTTATGTTAGGTGTTAAGTGTTATAAGTTAAAATTGTCGCTAGGGACCAGCCCCACACAAGACAATGTTCTTTCTTGCTGGTTCCTCATTCGTACAGTATATATATTTGTATTTTATGTTTGTCTTTCGTTATGTTATTTGTATGTACTTTACTTATCTGTAAATATCAATGTTTTAATCATGTATGTTTTTTATATGACGAATGAAATGAAATGAAAAATGAAAATTCATTTCGAAATGCTGATTATATTCAAAGGATTTCATTTTGGGGAGCCTGCTAATGGGCCACCTTGCCTATACCTTGAATACCTTGAATACCTTGAATATCCAATTGCGTAATGCAGGCGAGATCGGACCGCCGAGAGCGATTCCCTTGTTTCAAGTTTTTGTGATATGATGTTCTGTGCAATGTCTGAGTGTTTGCTTGGATGGACAGCATGCAATAGTATGAATAGACTGAAGGAGGAAGAGAAGGAGAGAAGAGAGAATGTTGGCTAGAGCTACATGTACATGTAATAGAGGTGGCTGTCGCAAAAGGAAATCTTCCCAGAGGAAATGTTTCTGAAGCAACACTTGCTTGACAACAAAGGAATTAAAAACGAGCCAGAGTTTTTAAACTTCAAATTTTAAACTTGACAATAATATGACTGTACATGTTGGTATAGTGTTTCAAATAAAGTACATGTATGAATAGCAACACTGGTTCTGAGTACTGTAGCAAAAGTTGATAAACGTACCCCAAGTTGCTTCTGGTCAATTTTGCACTGCTGTGCTTTGCATGCTGGCATTGGCTCTGTGTGTGTAATTTATCTTCTGACAGTAATCACAGTGATTTATCTTGATTTTCAAGCAATTTCAACTTTTAAGAATGGATCAAATGTTACCAAAAAAAGTGAAAATATTGTTTGATGAATATACTGAACACAACCAAATATCTTATTTTCACATGTTTTTCGTAATGTTTCAAAAATAGAAGCAGATAAATAATATCAACTTTCTTTGGTTGTGATCGTTAGCAAGTGCAAAAAATTTTTATATCTAAAATACAAACGGATCAGGCGCGTAGCCAGGGGGGGCGGTGGGGGCGGTCGCCCCCCAAAAAAAAACGCTGGCCAAAAAAAACGCAGGCCAAAAAAAAAAAAAAAAGAGAGAGAAAGAGAAGAAAAAAAGTAAGAGGACGTACATGTAGGAAGAAAGAGGGAAAGGAGTCGAGAACGGTACAACAAATCGTCTTCTTTCTCTAATAATTTAATGAAACGTCAAAGGTTCCGCGCTTCGAAAGAGGGGGACTGAATAAAGATAAGGATTAAGGGTGGGGAAAGGTACAACGAATCGTCTTCTTTGTCTAATAATACGTCAAAGCTTACGCGCTTCGCGCAGGAGGAGTTGGACTGAATTCAGACAAGGATTAAGAGTCGAGTCGTCTTGAATAATTTAATGAAACTTCAAAGTTTACGCGCTTTGCGCGGGAGAGGAGGAAACTGAATTCAGATAAGGATTAAGAGTCGAGAACGGTACATCGAATCGTCTTCTTTCTCTAATAAATTAATGAAACGTCAAAACTTCCGCGCTTCGCGCGTGACGGGGACTGAATACAGATAAGGATTAAGGGTCGAGAAAGGTACATTTGTACAACGAATCGTCTTCTTTGTCTAATAAAACGTCAAAGCTTCCACGCTATGCGCAGGAGGGGCGGACTGAATTCAGACAAGGATTAAGAGTCGAGAAAGGTACAACGAATCGTCTTCTTTCAAAGCTTCCGCGCTTCGCGAGGGAGGGGGGAAACTCCCCCCTCCCTGCACCCACCCCCCTAGGGAGCGCTACGCGCGTTCTTTAAGTGATTCGCATGCTTTGCGTGCCCACTACCGCCCCCCCTTAAATGAAATCCTGGCTACGCGCTTGAAACGGATAGCATTACAATAAAGGGTTTTTTGGCCCTTTGGATGACCAACAGACATGCTATGTTTTGGTTGGGTATTCTTAAGTTAAGCCTGTTAGTTTCAAGAAGGGCCTTCCATTGTTTCAATCCGGCCGTCGATACGATTTTGAGTGTCTTTCTCTTGCATTTCCCTGAACATCAAGTTCACTTCACCTTGGTGACCAGTTATTGCTCCACACCTCTCCGATTTTAAGAGACATTTGGGGCCCATTTGTATCTGACAACTGCAATGCTAAAATCAAAGAAATGCAATATTGATGTGTGTGTTAATAGCAGGATAATCAGGATTTAATTTTACAAGCTCTGTTGGATAACATAATTGAGGCACATCTTTACTTAGTACACATGTTCATGTACGTCATGCAGAGATGTATTTTTTTATATGTTTTACTTATTAAAGATAGATAGATAGATAGATAGATATTTGGTTGTATTCAAGTACTGATTAAAAAGTCCGAAGACTAAACAAGTCAGTTTACAATATAAAATGCATAACATAAAAATAACAAGGTAGAATAACACATGGATGAATTAAATTAAATCATTAATAAGTAAAAAATATAATAAGTACATGTATATAAGTATATAATAATAAGTAAATAAATAAGTATATACAGTTACCATAAATAATAAATTTATTAATTTATATATGTAAAACTGTAGTTATCGTGTGTGTGTTCGTTTTATATGTACATGTACAGTGTACATGTACATATATTTATTCATTCATTTGTTTTTTTGTTTCTTTTTTGTGGTAATTGTAGTATTGTACGTCAATTTCTCTGCCACTATAGAAGGATTTCTGAGATGAAATTTTATTTTTATTGACACTTTTCTGTGCTTGCTTAATTATATACATGGACATGTGCATGTATTTTGTTTTATTTTTGTAACAAATGTCTTATTTTAAGCCATGTTCTATTTTTACCTAATAATTATCAACTATGTTACTTAGGGACGTTGCGCTTTAAACATTTTTTGTTTATGCATTGTTCCTACTATGTATTATATATCAATGTAACCCACTGTATTCTATTATCTGTAAACAGTTATTTTACATGGTAAATAAATAAAACAAACAAACAAACAAAAATGTACTGTACATGTATATACATTAATGAAAGACTAATGATTTTTCCTTGTTAATCACCACTTGACAAGCAATATACATGTACATGTACCTGGATGACCTCCCTTGTAATGTACAAATGGAACATGCTACATGCATTGTACACAAGTGCCTGCCTGCAACATTTACAGGTGACCCTTGTATGCACATACATGTACAGTATTAGTAGTCTGCAGGCACAGACTTTAATTTGAGACTATACGGTATACACAATGAGGCAGAACCTACAGTCTTTCAGTCTCTGAATGGACATGAACTTGTAATATCAACAAGGCCATTTAAAAAATGTAATGTTTAGTGTCCCCACCCGCTTCTTTCTTTTTTTTTGGGGGGGGGGGAGGGGTGATATTTTTCCTTTTTTCCCCCAACTTTTTGTTTTTTTAGTGAAAAACATGAAAACATACAGCTAAAATGATCTTTTCCTGAAGTAAAAAAAAAGTTAAAAATTGCTGGCAGGCATCTTGAAAAATAGCTAGTCAAGGAAAATGTACAGAGAGGCCATTTTGAAGGGGAAAAAAAAGAAAAAAGGGCCTCCTCCTTCCTATTTTTCAAAAAGGCAGGACGTATGTTTGTTTGAAAAATCTGCTCACAGCCTATCATCAAATGCAAGGATTTCAGTAGGTAATATTAACAATTATCGCAACAATAATTGATAACAAGTTTTATGAAACAGCATTGGTCTCTGGTTGTTGTGTCTGGAGTACAGAGCTGGTGCATACATGTATGCCGTCAGCCTAGTCTCGCAGTGCAGACACTGTTAATGTACATTGCACAGTGACTGACAACTACAACTGTGCATGTACTGTATGTACTGCTGGCATGGGGTTTGTGCCTGCAAACTAAGAAATTACAGTACACCTGTATATGCATTGGAACTTGGAAGGTTGCAATGTACATGTTCTTAAGTCATCAGCACAATATCGACTCCCGCCATAAAAAAGTAATTTAAAAGAAAAATTATGCTCAAGTACAAAAAATAGTTATTTATAAATTAACAAGAAGAAAAAAATGAATTAACTTAATAAGTAATTAAATGAAGTATTAAATTATAAATGAATTAATAAATAATGAATTAGAATTTGTGAGTTTGAAGATGTTTAAGTTTGGCTGTATACAGTGTACCTTTCATGCTTTTGAGCACATTTTCCTTCATTTTCATTTTTATTTGTAAACTATTTGTAAAGTATTGGCGGAAATTTGAGGAGGAATTTACTGATTCATTTAGACCTTAACAAACTCTGAACTGATAAACATATACAGGTCTGTACTTTTTTTGGACACATACAGTGTACATGTACATGTACATGTACATGTAAATCACTTTGTTCTCTATGAGTAAGATCAGTTTCTTCATCAAACCATACAATTTGGTTGCACAAAAAATGTGGAATTATGAAGGGGAGAGAGAGAGAGAAAGAGAATGGAAAGGAGGAGAGCATTTGAGTCTTAGCGATAATGAACTTAAATTAACAACTCATTTCTGTCTGTAATTGATCCATTTCCCCCCTTCCCCTAGTGTTTGCGAGTCAAGCAGCTTTTTTTTTTGCAACTCTATTTTTAGAATTGTCCATAGAGAGACTTTCATTGCAGGCTTGAAATACCGGTATGTCCTCTTAAACATACAGAATCATACACACATTCTAGTTTGCCTTTTACTTTAAAGAAAATAAGGGCAGGATCGAGGGAAGATTTTACTCAGAAACACTCAAATATTTATGAAAATAAATATGTCAAAATTTGCCAAATGAGATTTGTTGACATGAGGAATGGAGGAGCATGTTCAAAATGTAATTTATTATTTAAGCCAGTAAAAAGTAATAAATACATTAAAAAAATGAATAAATTAAAAGGAGAATACCTGTAGACCTTTCTCATTTTGAAAGTTTGACATCTTTTTTCATTCGAGATAAAGGTATGTACATTAGTTTATTTATTTTTGTATTGTTTAATAACTTTAATTCAATATCTGTTTATTTATCTACATGCATCTATTTATCTGTTTTTTGTATTCGTACATTCCCTCATTAGTTGATGTTCTTGTTTGAAATTTCTTTAATATCGTAATTCAAGTTGCATATGGGCTTTTACCTCTGTCCACTCTTGGTACCCTAAAAACAATACCCTGAGTAACTTGCATGGTATTGAAACATCTTATTAAAGACAGGATGCTGTTATTATTGTTCCCCCAGCCAATCATGTCAAGTCATGTGGGGAGGACCTCGAGGGTGACGTTGCACCCCCCATGACTGGGTGCAACGTGACCCCCCTGTCGCCCAATATGCTGTACCCAACCCCAGCTTGAGTGTCCTACATACTGTAAGCTGTTGGACCTCCAACATAGTTAAGGAGAAATCTTTCTTTCCAATTTTCTTTAATAGTTACACATTTACTCTGTACATGTAGGAGCACTAAGCAAATTTTATAAAATGTACAAATCATCCCTGTTTTCACGAAGTGACGGTAGTGAGGAAAATCGTAACACAAAGTGGATGCAATTTTTTTTCACTACCGTCACTTCGTGAAAACAGCGACGAAATGTACATGTACATGTAAATACTGTGTAAATTACTTGCATACATGTACTGTACGTTGTATTTACTTTTATAGCTAGGGCTACACCTACAGTATTAACAAAAAGGGGAATACATGTACATGTATATCATGTTTAGGAATCCTCAGTTCAAATACAACATTTTCAGATGCATTGCAAACTGAAACCATTTTTAATTGTGCATTTTACACATCTACAATGTATATGTACAGTACTTGGAACTTGGACTGTTTATTTTATAGAGAGCGCATATATGTAGATCAAGTACTGAAACAAATGGGCATTCACCACAACAATAACCCTTTTTTTTCCTCTTTGGGTTACTGTATTAAAGGTTAAAAGGAAATATTGCTGAAAGTCAATTAGTGCTATTAAAGGGATCCGGTAACTTTGTCTCAGATTCTGAAACAAAATTCTGGGTTAAGCTCATGATGCAATGATAATTATAAACCTTTAGGTCAGTCAGGAACCCCATGACTTTTACAAGCCGATCGCCTGTCTGATTATCAAGATATTTATGATTGGAATTACAAATTTTGAAAAACGGTCGCCTGACGGTTTTCATAACACTACAGTCTATAGGGGAAAACGAGTATGGTAAAACCGGTCACTCACAGATTTTTACTTTTTTGAGGCCCTTCTTGATCATTTTGAAGCGCAATTTTTTTAGGGCTTCAATATTACACCATATCACAGACACTGATAACACGTAGGGCCGTGTATCTCAGATTTAACATTGTTAAACGATCCCTTTAAACCAAAGTTTGACAACAGAACAAACAAAATCAAATTTGGTGCTAGAATCAATTTGAGTTTAAGATAATAAGTTGTTCATAAAAAGAGCTAGAAACAGGGAAGGAAGAGTGGGAGAAATCTATAGAAGAAGCAAGGGAGGGGTAGAGAGAGAGAGAGAGAGAGAGAGAAGGACAGAAGAATGGAGCGTAAAAGAGAGGGGAGTATGAAAGCAAGAGAGAGAGAGAGAGAGAGAGAGGGAGGGGGGGGAGCATAAATTAGGGAAAGCAAGGCAGAGATACATAACATGTGGATAAGAGAGGGAGAGAGAGAGAAGGGCAGGACTAAAGAGCCAAAGAGAAAGGGCAAGTATGAAATCAAGAGAGAGAGAGAGAGAGAGAGAGAGGGGGGGGGGGGGCAAAGCAAGAGTGAGGGAAAGCAAGGCGGAGATAGATGAAGAGAGGGAGAGAGAGAGAAGGGCAGGAGGAAAGAGCGGGGAGCTTGAAATCAAGGGAGAGAGCAACAAAAACCAAAAAAGGCAGAGATAGAGAGAGGTGAGAGAGAAGGTCATTCTTGCTGGGATAAAAACTATGGGAAGAAAAACTCCTACCAATTTGTCCTCACTCATTAAAATGTGGTCAGTCTTGTGTATTGGCTAAAGATGAGGAGGAAATCCTAGTTTAAACAATGGATTAAACAATTGATTATCTTCCTTATTCCACTGCACACAGACTTAAAGGCCCACTGCACTACTTGTAGCTACTTGCGCCCTCTATATAACAAACAATGCCTAATCGGTGACCATTGGTCCCCCATGATCCTCTTTTACGTATGTTAACTGAGAGCCGAGTTGATGAGATAACCACCTGTCCAGTGACCTTGCGGGGCAGTCTAATCCCTCCTGTAAACTACGGCAGATAAGCTTTAAAAAAAAAAAAATGAACACTTTAATACCATCCAAGATGCAGACAACTTTCTTAATCAAAGGGACACCTTTTCACTCGACTTCCATCCTCAGCCTCTACTACCCGACATCCATTCATTCATTCATAAATAGTCGTAGTAGAATACCCCGTGTCCGTCTGGCATGAGTTTAGGTCACATGACTCCTGGTAACTTTCCGAGCCTATTTTTCTTTTACCCCCTTCCCACTTTTTTACCTCCACCATTCTTTGATACCATCGTTTGCAAAAATTATCCGCCGTTCAGTACTTTGTGACATTGCGAAACATCACTCTACTCTCATTGCCTGCCAAAGCAATTATTTACTTTTTAAAGCGAAAGGATGTTCTTTTCTTCAACTGTTTATGCTCTTGATGCCTAACAAATACTACTACAGCCCTACAGAATAATAGTGGATTAATGTGGAATGACTCAAGTGGTTGATTATTATTGGAATATATTTTTGCTTCCATGAATCACTCTATGCAATATTTGGTTACCAAGGATTCAAATAATGGCGAAAGCTGTGTCTTTGGATATTGAACACATGAGGTGAGAGCGTACTGTTTTCTTCCCCACACAATTAATTTTCTTTCTTTTCCCTTTTTCAAACTTTTTTATTTCTCCATGTTATTGTACATGTATGTGGGTGTCTGTTTGTGTGTCGGGATGTCAGTCAACAAATGAATCGCTGAGATCTTATGATTTGCATCTTATTCTAGTCCCTGTACTGTTCATCATGTGATATACTGTGCAGTGTGTACTAAATTATTCATGTGTGTTCATGTATCATTCATGTTCAAATCAAGGTTACCTGTACTTATTTAGTAGTCGAGAAAAGGGACCATCAGTGTACAACATACAGTACATAAATGTATCTTTAGCAGTTTTAATAGCTAATATTGGCATTATCTTGCCACGCTTTTTCAATAATATTCATGCAATGTTTGCCTGGTTGTCTGGCTACCTGAAAACCTTTAAATAATTTGATAATACAGTCAAACCTGTCTACACGTATAGCGACCGCCCAAGGGAAACACAAAAATTGGCCTTTAGTACATGATTAAATGAGAAACCATTTTCAAGGGAAACAACAAATGTGGCCTTTGTAGACAGGTGGTCTTTGTTGACAGGTGGTCACCAACGCAGGTTTGACTGTATCATGTGAAATAAGGAATAAAACTTTATAATTTTAATTTGTTTCTTTTAATACAGACCACAAGACAAGGATAAAGATTTAGAAGAGGAGGTTACAGTACATCTAACAGCAGATGGTAAGAAAGATGGAGCATTTAAGGATTTCTTAAAGCCCCACTGCACTACTTATAGCTACATGTACATGTACTTGCGCCCTCTATAAATAAAAAAATGCTTATTGTTCCCCCATGGTCCCCTTTTTCTTATGTTAATTGAGAGCTGATTTGATGAGATAACCACCTGTCAGTGACCATGCAGGGAGGTCTAATTCCCCTGCACAAGCTAGTGCGGTGGGGCTTTAAGTTGATGCTCATGCTGGTCAGATATTGTTGTAATTCAAACTGTTCTCGTTTTAAATCATTGAATCAACTGTTTAAAAGTGAATGGTTGACCATAAAATATGCTGTTGCTAAAAAATTCTTCGTAACTTGGCCATTAAAAAAAAACATGTTTACTAGCGTCCTGCCTTTTTGAAAAAAAGGGAAAGAGGAGGCCCTTTTTTTTCTTTTTTCAAAATGGCCGCTCGGTACATTTTCCCTGACACTTGCCCTTTTTCAAGATGGCCGCCAGAATTTATGTTTTATATTGTTTTTTTAATCCTGAAAAAAGATCATTTTAGCAAGGTATGTTTTTCATTTTTTATCATTTTATCATCATTTTTTAATGGCCTAATTTCCATTTGATCAAATTGAACGCTCTTGATGAAAAACACAAAACATGACTATTGTACCTTCTCTTCCATAGGAGATCAGGTTGTCCAGGACCCCAGCGGAGAGGGGCCGTTTGCAGAGAACATCCAGGTGAGAATCAAACGTTTCAAGGGCAATATAACGTTTCAAGGGCAATTCAACCGGCATAACTGCATTTACACTGCAACGTAAATTCATTGATTTTTCTCACATTCCAGTGTTTTGCCGGTGGTTGCATATAAAAAAATATCAACTACTGTACTGGCAAACATGACGAAAATAAAAATGGAAAAATCCACCTCTGGTGTGTAGTTTTTTTAAACGCCGCCTGCCAAAGTTTCACCAGAGGAAGTGATTGAAGAAAGCTTAGACTTAATTGGTTTAACTGACAAAATATTGAGGAACAATTGATACGTTTAAATGAGATGAAAAGATCAGTTTGTAAACATTGAAACAAAATACCACAGTGCAAATGTTCCTGGAGTTGTACCCAGGAGAAGGGACTAGAAGTTTCTTTTCCATCAGTTTGAACAGCCTTTTATAGATTTCCATGGAGATTATTCTCCATTAAAAATAATTCTTTATTTTAACCCTAGATCCCAGCACTAAAATTAGCCCAACCCTTATCCTAAATCCATCCGTACTCGTTTCAGAAACCTAACCTTAATCTTGATTTTGACACCCACCCTTGTCCTATTTTTTGACAAAATAAAGACCAGGGCCCCCATTTCATAAAACTTGTCATCAATAACAAATGCTACATTTCTATGCCAAATTTGCTCTCGGTCAATCAAATGCCACAATTTCATTAACAGTTATTGTAACTTGTTAATAACAAGTTTTATGAAACAGGGGCCTGGTCAACCAAATCAAATGTCTCCAGAGCAAATCATGGATCACTTTTCTTCTCCAGCTCAGCTCAGTTCTTTATTCTTCTTTTTGTCTCCTCTCGCTTTCAGTATCAGTTCCGAACGGATAGCAACGGTCAGAGCCAGGTAACATATCGTGTGGTACAGGTCGGCGACAACGAAACCAACCCACAGGCTGTCGTGACAACGTTTCCCCAGGGACAACAAGCGCTAACACAGGTCAGTGTAATTACAGTCAAACCTGCTATAGTGACCACCTGTCTACGAGGACTACATTTATTGTTTCCCTTGAAAATGACTTCTTATTGAAACATGTAGTAAAGGAACCTGTCTACAAAGACCTTTTTTGTGTTTTTTAAAACGTCCCTTGAGAGACCAATGCCAGTATTAAAAAGGTGAGAACAAACAGTGGCATGAACGGCCTGCCATAGTTAAGTCCAACTTAAAGGCAGGCTTTACTACTTCAGCTAAAAGGGATTAGACCACCCAGCGAGCCAGCGAGGTCACTGTGACAGGTGGCTATCTCATTAACTCAGCTCTCATTTAACATAAGAAAAAGAGGATCATGGGGGACCAACAGGCACTGATTGGGGAAGTTTTCTATATAGAGGGAGCAAGTAGCTACAAGTAGGACAGTGTGCCTTTAAAGTCGATCTTAGTCTTTGCGAAACCCTCCCCTGGTTTTAGCGGTAAATGTGCTGACTAATGGTTGTTGTCTGCACACGCAGCGAGTCACATGATCTTGTATCAGTCGGGTAATGAAGAGGGCATTATGGGCCTAGGGCGGAACCTTCCTGAAGCAATAATAGATGAATTATCCCTTTAAGTGGAATCATATTGTAACATGTACCGATATGATGTGTGTAATAGATGACTTATCCCTTTAAAGATAAAGACCAGTTATGGTCATTGTGAAAGAAATGTTGTGGAATCGACCAGAAAAGGTTGATCATCTAGCATATAAGAATTTGTGTGTATTGCAAGGTTCTGGAATCATCAAAATGATAATAAATTTGGCCAAGTCTTGGTAAAGTTACAAACACTGTACACAGAGAGATGTATATGGGACTACACGAACACGTGGCGTAAAAATCTGACCCTGGATTTTTACGATGTTACATGCCATATTTAGAATATGAAGGCATTTGAAGAGCCATGCTTTTCAGGGAACATGTCTTATCTGATGTTCTTCCACGCTTCAATAACGCTCACAAATTATTTTTTCACCTCTTTCCAGAAGGTCAGAACTCAACTTTCTCTTTAAAGAGAAGGTTGAGTTCTGGGCAGAGGTGACAAATAATACAGTGAGCATTTTCAATGTTATTAACTGTGGAAGAACATCAGAGAAAAGTGTTCCCTGAAAAGCATGGCTCTTCAAATGCCTTCATATTCTAAATATGACATGTAACAGCTTTAATAAAAATGAGGATCACATTTTAGGCCACATGTTTGTGTAGTCCCATGTACATCTTTCTATGTACAGTCCTTGTTAATACTTTTTACCAAGAATAGGCATAATTCATTTTGATGATTCCAGAACATTGCATTACACACCAATACTTTAACATGTATTTGCTACATGATCAACTATTTCTGATCGATTCCACACCGTCTCTTTCACAGTGCAATCGCATGACCAGAACTCGACTTAATCTTTAAATCCCTTTAATTGGAATCATATTGTAAAATGCAAAGCACTACAGTGTATACATGTACATTTATGAAGTTGCTTGAATACATGAATATTCATACTGTGGCGGAGCCAGAGCAATATAACATTGAGTTCCTATAGGAAATCTATTTATTCAGATGGTCATATCTCAGCCAATATTTAACATATTCAATTGGTTTGCGAAATTTGGACATTGTTTGTGATGCTCGTTCGGAAAATGAAGAAAAAATTGAGAAATTCCAAAAATTGATGTTATGATGTCACAGCTTCAGTACTCTATATAGTAGACCAGTATTATGAAGTCAGAATTGGATAATGTGCATGTGCAAGTCAAATTCATCTGCCCTCTCATGAATTACTACTAATAATGAAAAAAAAAAAAGTAGACGTCCAAAGTGTACGTAGTTTTCCTTGTTATTTTGGTCTGATTAAACTCTGGTCGGGCTGTCAACTTGGTAAAATCATCAGGTATATTAAAAGTGATGATGATGTTGTGAAATAAAGGATTTTAGAATCTATACAATTGTGTGGGTTCTGTCAATCAAAGAAAATGGAACATTTCACAGCAAGAAACATTGATGAACTGCAAAATGATGTGTTGTATAAACTTAAAACTTGTACATGTGTATGATTCAATTATTTCAAGGCACACAACTCTTGCAAATTTTGCGAACATTATGGTATTCATTATTTTGTCATTCACAATCATTAAAGTCTATCCTCTATCTGCTACTTGTACTCTCTGACCTTTTGACACAGGTCATCCAGGGGTCATTCAACGGGGAGAGTCCGACCAGTGAGAGCCAGGGCGGAGAGACAAGATTCACCTACTTCCCAGCCTCCGCAGCCATCCCTGGCGATGGCGCGGGGCCGGCTAGCGGAGGGGAACAACAACCAGGGATCACACAGCCATCTGGTGCTGCTGGCGGTAAGTTTTCATGACATTGTAGAGAAAGTTGAGTTAGGGCTCTTTTTGAATTCCATGAATAAAATTAGATGTTGCCTGACTCAATTTATATAACTTTGTCATTTTTTAATACCAGAGATATGTTTCAGATATCAATTTTTATGTTGCTCTCATGTTAGGCCTAAAAAAAAAAAGATACCTTATTGCCCTTTCGGTCAGTCAGTCAGAATTTTTTTTTTTTTTTTTTTTAACTTTCTTTTTTTGGGCTGATATTTCTCAGTTTTTAATATTTTGATACATATTTTTTCTAAAAACTTTTTTTTAAAGCCTACTGTAGATTTCAAGATTTTGGGGTCGGTCGCAAAGGGCAATACAACATCTTTCTTTTTTTAGGCCTTATTATTTTTTATTTTTTTATTTTCTCTCTGTTTGCCACTGACTAACCATCATCATTTGTTGTAAATTTGCAGGCCAGTTTTATGTAATGATGTCACCCCAAGACGTACTGCAAGGCGCTTCACAGAGAACCATCGCTCCGAGGACACACCAGTTCAATACGTAAGCTATTATCTGCAGCACTGGGTAGGAGTACGAGACCAAGGCCCCATCTCACAAAAATTTGTATCAGTGACAAATGACAGCTTTTGTTGTAAGCTACTGAAATCCTTGCTTCTGATTGGCTATCAGCAGATTTGTCACTGATTTTTTTTTTCTTTCCATTTGTCATTGAAAAAAAGGCTTTGTGAAACGGGTCCCTGGTTGTAGCACATGATTAAGATACTTATACATGTAGTAGTGATTGAGATCCTGTTATTGAAATCTGCCGGGCATTTCTGTAATTGCATAACTAAAAAGTGAAGATATGTAAATGCAGTTGTTTGGTATCAATTTAAAAGATACTCAAAGTAGTGACGTCTTCTGTAACGTCACATGCGAGACACAGCTAGCCACAAATCATTTCATGCCTTTCCATGATATCTACCGGCATATGATTTTTCAGAAAATTTTTCAAGTTTTTCAAGAGAAAATGTTTTCATCCATGTACAATTTGTCCATACTTATCAGTTGTCTTGAATTTTTTTCGGGTGACTACTTCAAACACAAACAAATTCACCTTAAGTTGATTTTTTTCATTTTAACATCCGGTAATGCAGGAAGATCGACAATTCGAGAACGGTTCGTGATGAGAGACGGAGGGCGACCCATAACGAGGTCGAGAGGAGAAGAAGAGATAAGATTAATAATTGGATCGTCAAGTTATCTAAGATCATCCCGGACTGCAACATTGACCATTCCAAACAGGGACAGGTTAGTAGTCAAGAGGTTAGTATTACAATGCCCTCCTATGTTTTTTATAATGATAATAATAATATTGGATTCTTATATAGCGCACGTATCGACCTTGCAAGGTCCTCAAGGCACTCCAACATTACCCGGCTATGCTAGGCTGTCGATTTCGACGCTCACAGCATTTAAAGGAATCCCTTCCTACCGGTACCCATTTAACACCTGGGTGGAGAGTGGCAAATGTAGATTAATGTCTTGCCAAAGGACATTAGTGCCGCGGCGGGACACGAACCGTGGACCTTGTGATCGACAGTCCTGCGCCGTATCCACTCATCCACGACACCGTCTTGGGGGGGGGGGGCGTTTCACCAAACTTGTCATCAGTGACAAAGGACAGTTTTTGTTATAAGCTACTGACACTACCCACACTCGGTACCTTCAAAACGGTCCAAGCACCCTCGGCTACCGCCATGTGGTTAATTCTTACTAATGCCCTCACTGATGTGTATTATTTGTATAATAATGATTTTTTTAAACTAATTGGATATTTTCAATGTTTCTTATTATTATACATCCTTTTCAATTCATCCACTGGCTACGACAAATAGATAATAACATCTTCAATAAAGCCGGGGTAGTGATATGACTGCCGGGCCCTCAGGGAGGACAGTATGAATACTGATGAGGCTACCCTGGGTAAACTCTGTATGAAAATGACGGACAAAGAAAGAGGACAAAATATACAGTTCCTCATTCTACCCTCAACAATTGCTGTGGTAGACAAAGGAACATCCCTTTACTGCTATTATGTAAACATTTGTACAACACATGAATATGCATGTGACACCTGTTCTACACATTTGTACATAATAGCAGTGAAGGGATGTTCCTGTGACTACCACAGCAATTGTTGAGGGTAGAATGAGGAACTGTATATTTTGTCCTCTTTCTTTGTCCGTCATGTTCATAGTGACTAGGCATATTCTTCTTCTTCTTATTATTATTATTATCATCATTCAATTTGATACAGAGTAAAGGCGGGATCTTGTCCAAGACGTGCGACTACATCCATGACCTCCGCAATTCCAACACCCGCATGGCGGAAAGCCTCAAGGATTCGGAAAGGCTCACCGTCGACATAGACCTCATGAGACAGCAGCTCGAAGAACTCAAAGGAGAGAACGCGCTCTTGAGGGCACAGTTACAACAAGCGGGAATCGATCCGGCGGGAAATTCAAATTGAAATTATTTTTTTTTGCCCGCCATTTTGGGTTTTTTCCGTCATTTTTGAGATTTTCCAAGTCAGGACATGTTTGTATATTGGAGACCATTTGAGACTCATCCCTTTGTTATTTTTGTATTCCTAAGCCATAGAGTAGGCTTCATGAGTTGCATGTTTTATTTTGGGTTGGTGTATCCAAGATTATCGATCGAAGCGTAAACTGGAGACTTTCAGCACCATAAATAAAGCCAGGGTAATAATCGGGGAAGCGCCAGGATCGTCACAATGTGGCGGACATGTGCGCTATAACACCTTTTCACAATGTCTCTGAGAGTCAGTCGCATCGTTGCTTGTTCATATTTGCTTTCTCCATAGTTTGTCATAACATCTAAAAGTTTTCACATTTTCTTCTTTTTTTTTTGCGAAAAAAAAGGTTTATCACAACAAAAAAAGGAACTCTGAAAAATTCCCACTTTTGCAGCCTCATAGGTTTCCAATTTTTTACCTTCTTGTCACCACAGAGGCCAAGGTATATCTTCGCTTCCACTTTCGTAGTTTCGTGATTATTTTTTTTCCTTCATCTTTATAAAGAGCTGTCTGTAATTACATCTATTTAAGAAAAAGAAAAAAAGAAATCATTACCACTGCTGGCCCGGTGTCAAAACAGTTCTAAATTTCATAAACCAAGAAATAACTTTGTAGATAATGTTGATGTGTTTTTGCTATGCCATTTATCCAGTTTGCATGAATAGTTTTGTTGATTGTACACAGAAAGACACGATTTACTCTCTGGGAGAAAAAAGAGAGAGATTAATACTCAACATGTGAAGTTTGGCAAATACTCCATTTAGATATTTCTATCCAAAGTATTCTCCTCCCTCGTGGAGACTTTATCGAAAATCAAGAATTCTGTGAAAGTGTCATTCTTTAAAGATAAAGTTGAGTTCTGGTCATGCGAATACATTGTAAAAGAAACATTGTGGAATCGATCAGAAAAGGTTGATCATGATCATCTACTGTAGCATGTAAGTATTTGTGTGTATTGCAAAGTTCTGGATCATCAAAATGATAAGAATTTGGCCCAGTATTGGTAAAGTCACAAGCGCTGTACACAGAAAGATGAATATGGGACTTCACAAACATACGGCATAACAAAAATCCCTTCTGATTTTCATCATGTTACATAACATGCCATATTAAGAATATGGTGGCATTTGAAGAGCCATGCTTTTCAGGGAACATTCGTTGTCTCATGTTCTTCCACACAATTTTCGAATTTTCTTTCACATTGGTTCATTTAATAAACCTTTGTAATTTTTCTTTTCATCTAACTATAAAGTTGATGAAAATAAGATCAATCATTGCCAATTAAAGGAGGGAAAACTGATTGGTTTAGAAGACATTCAGGGAAACATAACTGTTTTATGATATTTTTGTTGTGTGTGTGCGTCGGTGAGAAAGAATAACAGCAACTGTACATGTAAATAAATGTAATTCGATACAAAGGGTATATATCTGTAATATCAGTTTGGGATATTTGTGAAATTCACTTCTTTAATTTTTAACATCTATTTTACTCTACAGTGCTGGTATCTTAATCAGTTGTATTTTTGCATCGTAATTAATATAAATTTGGACGAGTTTTATTTTTGTTGGGCCCAATAGAAATATTTTTCAGCCAAGTTGGGCAAGAAGGGTTCCAATTTTCTAAATATTTCTTACCCAAATTTGGACAGGTAATTCAAACATTGTAGCACACTTCACAGATGAATAATATTTTATTTAAAAAGAAAAAACAATATTAAATCTTGTACATTGCTTCTTATCGTTGATGATATTGTTGTATATTTCAGCTTAAAATACATCAAGATACATACTTTGAAAATGTTCTGTTTCAATTTCATAATCATTTTTTTGTATATTTTTGCTCTACTCGTTCATGTACCAAGACAAATATTTGAAAAAGGCACTAATTTGTTTAACTAAACTTGTTTATTTCTATTTTCATTACCAAGAACTGGCCACCATAACACAGAGGTTTGCAATCACTTAGAAATTTGAAACAATGACTCTGATTGGTTAATGGTCAGCCTTTTGAATAATATGTAAATGCAACAATGATCTTGATTGGCCGTTGCCAATTTGCGATTGATTGCAAACCTTTGTGTTACAGATCAAGCATACAGGTTAGTAGTCTTGTATCAGGACCCTGAGGAGAAACCATCTAAGGTCTGCATTGGTAGACTATGAGTATTAAAGTCATTAATTTATAGCTGAGAATTTTGAGGGAACGCCATGTGAACTTTGTGAGCCAAATAAGTCTAGTCTGTGTTTTTGTACACAAGATAAACACAGGAGGTGGTGTTTTATAGCAGGATAACTGTAATAAAATGATTTCCAGAGGTTTGATACCTATTCAGAAAGTTTACAGCTGTATGTCTTGTTTATTTTGTCTTTTGTTATTCATATAAATCACGATGATATCCATCAGCCTTTCAAGTTTTCTCCCTCCCCCCCCCCCCCCCCCCCCTCAATCATCTCCATCACGATCAATTGGGCAAAAAGAATTTCCGTTTCGGTTTAATAAAATTTGGAGTGGACTTTTAGGCTATATTATTATTATTATTATTATTATTATTATTATTATTATTATTTTGACTTGTGTTATTTGTTCATTTAATGATCCTATTAGTTTGGATCATAGTCTATTCAATTTGAATTGAAGTGAATTGAATCATCATTTATTAAAGTCAGCATTTTCCCTCTTCCGAGGCGTTACTGACGTGCCATGATCACACTACCTCCCTCCAGGCTTCACTTTTTCTTGAGCACGCTCCGCATTTAGACCAACCTTGCTTTCTCTCTTCACCATACCCTTTCATGAAAATGTGGTCTTCATTTACCCACTGTGCCAAGGTGGCACTCCCGAGGGGTGAGGGAGAGGGGGGGGGGGGATGCCCCTTTAACTTTATAAGAAGTGCCCTATTTTACATAATAAAAGTACCCCTCTTACTTTGACAGGTTCCCCTTTCCCTTTTCCCTTGTTTCTTATTGTCTCCATACATTGTCCTTTTTTCCTCCCCTGTATCTACCTCTACACCCCCCCCCCTCTCTCTCTCTCTCTCTCTCTATTCCTATATTCTCTCTCTCTCTCTCTCTCTCTCTCTCTCTCTTTCTCTCTCTCTCTCTCTCTCTCTTTTCTCTCTCTCTCTCCCCTCCCCCTCCCTGTCTCTTTCCTTCTCCTTGTCTCTCTCTCTCTCCCCCTTCTTAATCTACAGACTCGTCATTTGAAACGTTAACCCAATTCCTAAAGCCTTGAAAAGGGGTCTAGATATCTACCAGTTTCTGATTCTCGTCCGTATTAAAGATTATCTATTATGTTCCTGTTCACTTGTGTTTTAACCGTGTACGATAGCTGATGTAGTATTTGTATGACCCCAATTTAAACATTAAAGTGTAGCCATAAATTATGTAAACACATTATCGCAATTTGAGCTCTTTTTGGAATCCGTTCAGCTTTGAAAGGAAATGAGAGAACGATTGACCTCTAACAAATTTCCATCATTTTCAATATTGACTCATTCATCTAAGTATGTACATGATTCGTCTGTTTGGAGCAAGACTATGACCCCTATTAAGATATGGGGGCGTTTCACCATTAAAGCCTTTTTTCATGACAAAAAAAATCAGCGACAAAGCTGCTGATAGCCAATCGGAAACAATGATTTCAGTAGCTTATAACAAAAACTGTCATTTATAACTGATGACAAGTTTTGTGAAACGCCCCCCCTGGTCGGTGATCTTTGGAACCAATTCGGATTGTACACAGAAGTGAAACCAAATTCGTGCCAATTTTCTTCTGGTATGATAATTCCCTCATTCGTGTATACAACACCAGACTGTGAGTGGTTCAAGATGGCTACTCCAAACTCTGAGACCGATGAGACAAGGATATCAGAACTACGCCGTGAGATCTTGTCCTACAGATTAACCGGTGTTTCACGGTTTGGTGACGGAAGTCGAGGAGCGAGTGACCCGGACAAACTTGACATTGGCCTGGTTGACCTCGGTGAGAGCGGGTCAAGCGTTGTGTCCGCTCTGAGGTGTGCGCTACACGGAGCCGCAGAGCACATGAACTATGACGATGACCCTGAGGTATTGTCGTCGTCGGGCGAACAGGAGGTCGAGTATCTGACGAACTCTGTATCTGTCGTTTCAAGAACAATATCGTGCAGGAGTATGTAGATTGATCATCTAGTATAATCGATATTTAATATTAACACTTTACTAACATTCTATTGAAATATTCATTTTAAGTTAAACATCAATGTTGAAACTGTATTTAATTTTAAAGGCCGTCTGTAGCCTAATAGTTCGGCAAGGGGATTAGAACACCCTGCAAGGTCACTTGACAGGTGTTTATCTCATTAAATCAGCTCTCAATACATAAGAAAAAGAAGATCATGGGGACCAACAGGCACCGATTAGGCAGTGTTTGCTGTATAAAGGGCGCAAGCAGGGGTGTCGATCCCGGGGGGGGGGGGGATATATCCCCCCCCCCCAATATTTCAGGTGGGGGGGGGGGGGATGGCATGTACAATCATCCCCCCAATAATTCACCAATAAAAAAAAAATGAAGAGAACAATTAATGATGAGAGCCCGATGAGAGTAGTTAATGATTATTACTCGCAAGATGACCATCAATATACACATTTTTCATAATACATACATATATAAATAGAAAACGAAGTAAATAATTAGACAACCGTATATGAAACGAGAATATCACATGACTTTTGGCCAGTTCAATCTGAAGTGATTTTTAAAGCTATTCGACTATGTGGGGTTGATGATGCGTTTATTTCATAATGCAAGTAAAGTAATAAAATATTGTATCATTGAAGAGAAAGACGGTTTTGTCCAAATGGCAGCATGTAGGAGACGAAACTTTCAGTTTGTTCCCTGATTCTGATTTTGTTTTCTTTGATTTTATCCATTTCTTTGTTTATATATATCGCTACATGTAAAACATTTGAAGAGCTATTTTCCGAAAGGAGCAAAATATTTAGATAGCAGATGGAGATAATGATAAAAATTTTCCTCTATTTACCTTGAACAAAATTATTAACCTAAATTACGAGAGAAATTATGAACACATGCATCTTTTAATAACAATTTTTCATAGAAACCTGAACAAAATCGGGTAAACAAAGAGTTCTTTCTTAAGTTACACACATGGATCTAGTGCCTCTCGAAAAGAAAGCAACAAAAAAGTGTTCCTTCCCCCCCCCCCCAAGCCCCTGAACGAAATATCCGACGACGTAATTTTCCAATTTCCAGAGCCCAATTTTTGTTTTGCTCATCTGACCGTGATTAAATGCCTTTAAACTCCTGAGCTTCCGGGGGCTCTGCCCCCTGTACCCCACCTAGGGCCCTAAGGCGGACGGTTGGATCCTCATCTGACGGTAAACCCTGAGCTTCTGTGGTCTCGGCCCCCAGGACCTCACGCCAAGTGTCCGGCCAGTTTCACAAATAAGATATCAAAATATATGCTCATCTGACCGTAATTTATTGCCCAAAACTCCTGAGCTTCCGGATCCTCCGCCCCTGGACCCCACACCAATTCGTGACCTGCCAGTGTCACAAATAAGGTATACAAAATGCTCATCTGGCGATAATTTAATGTATAAAACCTTCGAGTTTCTGGGGGCTCCGCACTCTGGACCCAACACCAATTTGTGTCTTGCCAGTGTCACAAATAAGGTATCAAAATATGCTCATCTGACCGTAATGTATTGCCCAAAACCCCTAAGCTTCCGGGGGCTCCGCCCCTGGACCGCACACCAATTCTTGACCTGCCAGTGTCACAATTAAATAAGGTATAAAAATATGCTCATCTGTCGATAATATAATGTGTAAAACCTCTGAGCTTCTGGGGGCTCGATCCGCACCCTGGACCCAACACCAATTTGTGTCTTGCCAGTGTTACAAATAAGATATCAAAATATGCTCATCTGACCGCAATTGCCCAAAACCCCTGAGCTTCCGGGGCTCCGCCCCTGGACTCCATGCCAATTCGTGACCTGCCAGTGTCACAAATAAGGTATAAAAATATGATCATCTGACGATTATTTAATGTATAAAACCCCTGAGCTTCTGGGGGCTACGCCCCTGGACCCAACACCAATTCTTGCCAGTGTCACAAATAAGGTATCAAAATATGCTCATCTGATCGTAATGTATTGCCCAAAACCCTGAGCTTCCGGGGCTCCGCCCCTGGACCCCATGCCAATTCGTGACCTGCCAGTGTCACAAATTAGGTATAAAAATATGATCATCTGACCGTAATTTATTGCCCAAAAACCCTGAGCTTCCGGGGGCTCCACTCCCTGGACCCCCCGAGAAACATTCAGCGGAGCCGCGCCTGCTTCTACCTCTTGGTTGCTTTGATCCATTGCCGAAAATATTTTGGCATCTATCATCCCCCCAACCACGGATACAAATCGACACCGTTGGGCGCAAGTAGCTATAAGTAGTGACGTGGGGCTTTAAGTGACACACTAGCGGATCCAAGCTTAATATTTGAGAAGGGGCGGGGCACAGGTGAACATATTCGCGAATAAGCAAAATCGTTTTCATAGCACAGGTGTGTATATCATATTAAAGGCCCCCTCCCCACCCCCGCTATCCGCCACTTCGTAAACTTAAAGGGTAGGCCTTTCGGTTTCCGATGAACCTCACAGCGAATTCTTTTCTACATGGAATTTACTCAATACTATAATATTTTCTTTTAAGTCATTTCATCTGCCAGAATTTCCAGCGTTTTGCTAATAATTAGTCATCTAGTATCATGATACAACCAACGTTTTGAATTCACAGATAATGTCATCTCAAAGGACTATCTCTTGGACATTTTACAAGGACTTGCTGAGAGGGTTGGAGCCTGTCTTCTCTTAGTGCGGTTAGTTATGTCCTTTAATTTGCTGAATCTGTACAGTAATAGATCTTCATACTACCAACAACCAAACAAACAATCAGAACAAAAATGATCAGTAAGGAAGTTCATAGTTTTATCTTTCCATTCTTTATTTTGTAAAAGATTTGTAAAAATATAATCAATTTTATCGACTGTGTGGTTTAAAAAAGAAATAAACTTTACAAAAAGTAGAAAGTGACTGCATGACATGTGTATAAATAAATAAACTCATTATTCAAAAAAGTAAAACAATTTCGTTTTAGTAGAACAAAATTATACTTAAATAAACGAACATAAATCCATATATTATATCAACACTTCCGAAAAATGGTCACTTACATTAATTTAATGGTATCCTTTTGCCTATTATGACAGTGCTTCGCTTGTTCCATATTTCACGTCTGATGTGATCACACTGACTACACGCTTAACAGGTAAGCATAATTTTAAGATGCACGTTTATATTTTAAACCCAGAGACAGATCGTGGGGCGGGGCCTTACAGCGTCGCCCCTACCCCGCCCCACTTATACCGCCAGCGGGGAGAAGAACTGATTTTTATTTAGTATAACCCTGTGTGCAAAAATAGACCCCTCTGATCTTGTAGTTTAGACGCAGTGCCTAGGTTTGCTCGAAAATGTCTATACATTTTATGGGTTTTCTTGGCAGACGTCCCTTGAGTGTTTCGGGCAAGTGGGGATGAGTTGATGATGAGGAGGAGGATGATGATGATGATGATGATGATGATGATGATGATGATGTTTATGATGATGATGGTGATGTTGATGATGATGTTGATGATGATGATAATGACGTTGATGATGATGTTGATGATGATGATGTCGTTGTTGATGATGTTGATGATGATGATGTTGATGATGATGATGATGATGTTGATGATGATGCTGTTGATGCTGATGTAGAGGATGATAATGTTGATATTGATGATGATGTGATGATGTTGATGATGATGCTGTTGATGATGATAATGTTGATGATGCTGATGATGATGATGATGATGATGATGATAATGTTGATGTTGACGCATGATGATGTTGATGATGATGATGTTGACGATGTTCATGTTAATGATGATGATGATGACGTTGATGATGTTGATGATGTTGACGATGTTGATGTTGAAGATGATGTTGTTAATGATGATGTTGATGTTGATGATGATCATAATAATAATAAAAATAATATGTCTTGTTTACCCAGAGTAGCCTCATCAGTATTTATACCGTTCTCCTTAAGGACCCTGCAATCATAATTATTATTACCCGCACACAATGTATGCACATTCTCCACTCCCTGGGGAGCATTCCAGCCCGGCGTCATTTTTATATGCGCACATTGCTAATCTAAGCACATTAGCTTTCACATCCTACCGGGTACCCATTTAGGTGGAGATATTGATGATGTTGATGATGATGATGATGATGACGTTGATGATGACGTTGATGTTGATGTTGATGATGGTGATGACGTTGATGATGTTGAAAAAAACATTTTGCTTCTTCTTAACAGGACGTTCGCCAATCTCCATTATTCTTTGTGACACGGGAAAAAATGACATCGACAGGCTCAAAGAATATCTGAGAGGCAATGGCATCGATGATATTTATGAACTACCAGATCATAATATTCACCATGGTCCGAATATTATGCCTCGCATGTCAAGTGAGAAACAATTGGAACTCCTGGAGATGCTTCATCGATGCCTGGTCTATAATGAGGACCTAGCTACTGCAAGATTAACTGAGAAACTAGAGGTGGTATCTATTAGGTGATTTAAGTGCTCTGTTTATTTACATCGATAGGGTGGCCCCCACCAGAGATGCTGGTGCCCCTTCAATGGGTGCACCAACGCTTCTCAGCAGAAACCAATTTAACCCTTGGTAGAGAGAGGCAAATTTGCATAAGATTGGGGTCCTGCAGAATGATTTTATTGACGTAGTACGTCCTGGTATTCGAATCCCCAACCTCACGATTGCAAGTCAAGTGAATTCCACTGCTTCTCATCATGAACCCGTTATCGACATGGTCCTGGGTGAAGAGAGGCAGAAATACATGTTGATTACTATCGAGTCATACTAGTATCTTCTTGACGTCCTTGGAATCGAACCTCAGAACTTTGGAATCTTTACAGGTTCCTCCACTAAGGCGAGGACCACTGAAGATCGAGAATGTATTGTGATAATGGTGACTACCTCTTTCGGTAGCGCATGAGAGTCATAAGAGAAAATTCTATCCATACAATAATATTACAAGACACCCAAATACCAAAAGCTATACCATACGTAGACGGAATTTCAAAAATATTACAAGTGCATTTACGTTTGAAGTTGTTTTGTTCCACGTTTACATCAACAAACAATTTTTCTTTATATTTTTTTTTACACAAGCGTATATTATAATCGTAGATTACACACACAAAATAAAATTTCAAATCAAGTATAATGCACGGAAAATAGATTCGAAGTTTCGAAATATATAGATATGAAAGGCAAAGTAATCCATTGTAAAATTTGGGGAGCCTAAATAAAAAGCACGTAAGAATGTTTCGCCTGAATTTTCATTTTATTTGTATTACAATGGTAAAAATTATGCTAGTAACTATGCTGTCAACTACTATCATGACTATTACAAAGATAACGATTTTAAGGAAGGGGCACTTTCTCCCCTGGAGTCCCATGTGACATACAAATAAATTTGCTTTGTGTAAGCGCACATGAAACTGCATGAAACTCACCAGTTTGACTTCATGATTATTATGAATTATCATTAGTATTATTATTATTACCGAAGAGTGACGTAATACTGGCCAAGTTGCGGCAGGTTGCTGGTTCCAAACAATTTTGTGCTAAACAATGGTGTGGTTATCACACACCAGTCCCAAATGCTAATTAGACGCTGGCACTTCGGTACTCTAATTGCTTGGTTGTTATTAGGGACTTTTAGATTTGCACAACGACAACGTGGATTGCTATATAATCGACGTCCTTTCAATGCACTGCCTTGAATGGACGTCACACGTATCAGTCCACGCAAATCTAAAAGTCCCTATGTGACGCGAAGATCCGATATGCATGTACACCACTTTCCAAAAATAATGCATGTGAGAATTTTCATTTTATTCAGTTCAGACGTCTTCTTTATAGTCGCGAATATCATATGGATTGATTGTCCAAAAGCGGTCTAGTTTTGGAGACTACCATGTCTTCTGTAATAATATAATAATTACGTAAGTGCTGCGTGTGTACTGCGATATGATACTGTTAATGTTGAACGAATGCCCGACGACTGTCTTTCGTTGATAATACAACAATCTTGTCTTCCTGGAAAAGGATTTGTAAGGTATGGGATCTCTTCTAGACCTTGTGGACACATCGACAGCACTGATCGCCCTTCTTGTGTTTCTGCTCAGTCTCGTTGTAACGCATCGGTTCTACCAAAACGGCGATGACAGCAAATCGCTTCCCCCGCGAGGCCCGCGAGAGTGGCCGGTCATCGGCATCATCCCCAGCCTGGTCGGGGACGAGCCGTACAAGCTACTCGCTCGCATGTCGCCCCAGTACGGGCCGGTGTTCTTGACTCGTATCGGTATGATTTCGACCCTCATCATCAATGATTTTGACTCGATGAAAGAGGCTTTAGTGAGATCTGGAGACGACTTTGCCGATCGACCCAAGTTTGGGATGATGGAATATATAACAAAAGGAAAAGGTAGGCCGCTTCGAGCTCAGTTAATATCCAATGATGATCTATCCCCCAGCTGGGGGTAGTCTACTCAGATTTGGTTCAGACGGGGGTGTGCCGCTGTCAAAGCCTCAAAAGTCGAAACTTCTACCTATTTTGACGGGTCATATTGCTTTTTTTTGGGGGGGGGGGGGGATTTTTTTTATAGTAATGCCCATTTTTTTTTCTCGCAATTTTTGGATATTTTGAAAAACGGCCCGATCCATGTTTATTTTAGGGATATCTTTAGGACCCATGTTTAGGGAGTTTGTGAAAAAGTGACTCACTTAATACAGCTGCACCCACCCGAATATCTTAATATGTGAGTCCCCCCCCCCCCCCCCGACCGGATTAAAATACCATAATTATCAAACAATATACAATTCCCTGATTCTCAAATCTTCGCACCTCTGATCCACTGCTGGATATTGCATACCACGCTCATTCTTTTATAATAAAGCAAACCGTCTGTTCAACAACGGAACTTCCAACTTCTGTATATTATCAACTGAACAGTGAACCAATTGAACTTTTAAGCGTGTTTGCCAATCAGAAAATCATTCATTGCTTTCTAAATTCTCTTTGGTAATTCTGTCATCAGTTGAGCGTTATAAAGGGGTTAAATCTTCCGGCCAGCACCCCGGCTCCCTACTTCTGATGTAACCATCCTATAATGTTCATATTGTATTTTACATCATTATATATTCTTGCGTTTTATATATATTTGTATTTGATATATTTCATGTCTTTCGTTATTTTACGTTTACGAGACGTGCTTGTGAAGCAATCATTTTCTTTATATACATGTAGTGAACGTTATAGGGTCTATTATAATTATGGATTATTAATAAATATATAAATGACTGATAATATAACAAAATCATGACCTGTTCATATAAAACAATATTTTGTTCAAACTATACGGGCCTGTAGGCCTATACATTTACGTCTTTAACGGTGCACGGCCAAGCTTCCCTGGGGAAAAGATAATGGCGGACAATACAATCAACGTCAACGTAGTGCACTCGACCTTGCCACCCAATCCACTCGACACGGACAGTGTAGAGTTCAGTGACGGTCCATGGTTTCTGCCCGTAGTCTACGTTTGCAGTATGGTAATTTGAGGCTTTCCGCTGGACGTGCGGATTTGTTTTCTGTGTTAAAAAAGGACATGAATAAAGTAATAAACACGTATAGCAGTTTTCAAGCATATTTCTTACAATCTGATAGTGATAATCTGCTAGTGCCCTTTGGTAAGGCAATAATCCTCATTATACCAACTTAGAGCCGTCGGTCCCCTGGTTGCTACATGTACTATCATACAATGCTTTCTTAGCAGTCGTTTTTTCCCTTAACAAACCATCAAACCAGAGCATCACACCAGGAATGTTATCAGATACATGTGTTTCACAGGATATTCATGGCAATAATTTGCAAGTATCACCTGCGTATTCATTTCAACTTCAAAATATAAATATTTTTCATTTTCAAATTAAAAAACGGACAATGATTGTCAAGAAAATGCATCGACACCTCTTGTGATAAAACAAAAGTTATGTTATATTCCCGAGGCCGTTTGTGTATACGTAATCATGCGAGGGCTATTCTAAGGTATTATATTGAACCCAGGACCTCTGTCAATATTATGGAGGGAATGTACAAATAATTAATTATCGATCCGTTAATGATTGACAAATTAATAAATTATAGTATAACCAGTAAAATCGAATGAGGGAATGGGGAGGGGTTATAACCCCCCCCCCCACCCTTCGGTAGAACGGCGTAGACCCCATTACCACGCAAAAAAGTGAATAATGTACATTGTGCCCTTTTCTAGTATTGATGCCTCGTGTATTTCAAATTTGCATGAAAAAAGATAACACGAATGAACATTGTACCATACTACCATCTCATTTCTAATTCTAGTATGATTTTTCAGTTTTGTCTCCTCTAATCATTGTAAATAAATAAATAAAATACTTCAAGTTCAAGATAAAGAAATGGTTGTATGGGGCCAAAGTCAGTTAAAGGAATTAGTAACATTGTTCAGATGAGAGAAAATGGTCCTAAGGTAGTGACTTCAATACTGTACAATTACAGATAATCTGAAAGTTTGAGTGAAAACGGACCATTATTAATGGTAAAACTTGCGCAAAACTGATTTGATCGATTCCTTAATTCTCCCAACTATGTTATTATAATTTAATTACATTTTAGGTGAAAGTAAATCGTCACAAAGCAATGAATTGGCTCTATATACCATTCCAGACATTTCCAGTTTTGACCGATTTTTAAAAGCATGTCTTAAGTCTTATTTTCAAGGAAAAACGGTACGAAAAATTAAAAAAAGGTTAATGTTGGGAGAATTTACTTTTAATCACTGTTAGAGGGTGTTGCACAGTGACACCTTCAAAGAAAACAAAAAATATCTTTGTGGTTTGAAAATGTTCTGAGGATTTTTTTCATCAACCTTCAACAATGTTACCAAGTCTTAAGATCTGTCGGCTAAGTTGTGATTTTTTTAAATTAGAGCAACAAAACAAAATCCGTTCTCTAATAAGTCTCATAGTTTTTTGTTTTAAATGAGATATTGCTATTTCACGCATACGCTCCCTGAGCATTATCACAAGTAAATATCTTACAGGGAAAAAGAAAACCCAATCATCACCATGCAGTCTACTATATTAGCTATTACGCTATTAAGAGAAATGAAACACAATCTTGCTTCCTAATAATTATTTCGTGGCTACCGTATATATATATATATCCGTTTTTATTATGTGTTTTATTGTTTTGTTTTTAAAGGGAAGGAGCATGCAACCTTAAACGTGCCGCCCCCCCCCCCCACCCCTTCACTTATGAGTGAATACTACTGTGTTGTATACCGCCGCATGTGCCGTTTTAAATTCATTTAAATTCATTGACAGTTAAACAAATTCATGCTCCTTTTTTATCTCCAGGAATTATTTCAGCTCACGTGGGTGACAGCCAGCGAGAGAAGCGTCGCTTCGGACTTGCGGCCCTTCGAGAACTTGGCATGGGCAAATCGCGTCTTGTCGAGAACATCTCCGATGAAATTGAAACCCTGTGCGATGTTTTTATGCGTTACGAAGGCAAGCCTTTTAACCCTGCCCACGACATTACTGTCTCCGTTTCCAACATCATATCTTGGATTGTCTTTGGCAAGCGATTCAAGCACAATGATACTGCCTTTAAGCGTTTCCTTGAGATTATCCACGAAGGGATTGAGATCTGTGAGTCAACAGGTGCTGCAGGGTTCATACCCATGCTGCAGTACTTACCTTTACCAGTGTGGAAGAAACTGGCGGATAACGATCGGGAGTGGAAGGAATTCGACGCCGTCATGATCGCAGAGGCTTTGCAGAGGCCTGCCTCAGAAGAGCCGTGTTTCGTGCAGATGTACAACGAAGAGATGAAGAGGATGGAACAACGAGCCAAAGCAACTGCAGCAGGTTCAAAGGCATCCGATGGTACCGATGGCATCAGTGCCTCGGAAGAAACTGTGATTTTCAACGAAGAAGATATGCGTCAGACCCTTGGCGACCTGTTCGCAGCCGGAACAGACACAACCGCCACAACGCTCAAATGGGCCATCCTCTACCTCATTCTCTACCCGGACGTGCAATGCAAAATCCACAAAGAATTGGACAACGTCTTTGGACACAACAGAAAGCCGAGTCTCGAGGACCGCAAGTACATCCCGTACACGGAGGCAGTTCTCCTGGAAGTACAGAGGAAGGCAACGATTGTACCTCTTGGGGTGCCACATGCAGCAAGCTGGGACACCAAGCTCAATGGTCACCATATACCAGCGAAGACCTTGATCCTACCGAACATCTGGGCCGTCCACCATGATCCGAAGATCTGGAAGAACCCTAATGAGTTTCAACCTGAGAGGTTCTTGGATGATAAGGGAACTACCGTGCTGCAACGAGAAGAGCTGATCCCGTTTTGCATAGGTAAATACAATTGGAAAGCTATTTGTCACCTCCCCTGAACGTAATACCTAACAAAGACTTCCAACAAATTGCGTTATTTACCAGTTTCCATAAAGCTCGTCATAATTACAGAAGATAAGTCAATACGGAATCACAAACCGCCGCAAAAGGGCGCAGTAAAAAAAAAGTATATGTATGACCATTGTTGCGCACAGTTGCTATTCATTTACAAGTTTAAAATAAAATTATATCAATTGCAAATAAAATTCACGCTCATTGCTGCTCATTTAGGTTGACGCAAATTTAAAAAAAAAAACAGCTCAACAAAGCTGCACGTTTATCTTTACTTTGTATGAAGTAAGTGACAACTAAACTCATATTTTGGGGATACCCCGCTTAAAGGTTCAAAGTTTTACTTCATTTTAAAATATCTTCCATATTTGTGTAAAAACGTGTTTTTTTTTAATGAATTTTCAAACATTCACCCTCTCTTTTCTTTGAAGGCAGGAGAAAGTGTCTCGGTGAGCAACTCGCTAAGATGGAACTCTACTATTTCTTCACCCATCTCCTCCATCGCTTCGAATTTCGGATATCAGAGGGCGCCCTACCACCCAGCACTGTCGGCAAACCCGGTGCAACACGCAACCCCATGCCGTTCAGCGTGTGTGCGATTCCGCGCTTCTCATAACATTGTTCAATTTTTTTTTGTTCTTCTCAAACTGAATATCAACATTAAACACACATATATTTCATCGGATAAATTTGACAAGCGATCTTGTATTGTGATAATTACAAGTATGTTCCGAGTCTTCCGACACTTTCTACATGCATTCATCGGAATGTTTCCTTACAAATAAAGTCGATTGCTTAATACCTCCGCATTACCTTCAGTCATAATCGAGCCTAATTAGCTGACATGTCTGTTATTCAATGCAATGTTTGCAAAATGTTTTCTGAAAGGTGATTGATGGACAGGCTATTGAAGTTTCCATCAGTGGATTGTTGGAAAGTACTTGTGAACATGGGTTTATTTCAGCTATAAAGTTTAGGAAGAGCGCAATTTTATAATTTGCTCCAGTGCCATTGATTAGGAGAGTTTGGCCAGCCCGATTCAAATACTACTTTAATGGGAACGCATGGAATAAAAGAATATACGCCATGTTGTGACAAACTAAAACCAAGCTGACCAAACTCTGTGTTTAGATGGCACTTACATCGGGCGCCATTATCCTTTCATACGCCACTTTGGCTATCTTTGAAAAAAGATTGTTCAGTATCATATACATGTCAGTCAAACCTGTCTATAACGACCGCCCGAGGGAAACACAAAAAGTGGTCTTTGTAGACAGGTGGTCTCCAAAGCACGTTTGACTGTATGTTTAAGAGGTGCCTAATTGCGTCACACGCATACCATCAGGTTAACAAATTTACCTCAAATTGAACGCTCTGGGAAGCATGCAATTTCTTTTGTTTTTCTGAGTTAATGTTTTGTAAAATGAATATCGTGTAAATTTGAATCTATCATTCTAAAGGGTATCATGTTGATGTCTAAATTGTTTACAAAATGTACGGTAGAGTATAACAGTATTAACTATAAGTAATAACTAAGTCACTAAAGTAATAAACTGAGTCACTAAGTAAACCCCCCCCCCCCCCCCCCCCCCCCCCCACTCGGAGGTCGGAATGACCGCATTCGTGTTGCCAAAATGTCCGGTAAAGGGGTACTTTTCGTGAGACAAAGTCCGACCCGAGAATTGTAAAAAAAAAAAAAAAAAAAAAAGGGGGGGGGGGTGTATTTGACTTTTCACCCGGAGATTTCTTTAAATAGGGGGTGCTTTTCTTTTTTACTCTCATCTCCTTGGACTCCTGAGAAATTATTCCGAATTTAGGGGGGTACATTGAGCATTTTTCGTGATTTAGGGGGGTCTCCAAGGTAGGAAAAGCCCGCGAAAAGCCCGCGAAAGGGGGGTTCGGAAATGTTGGCAGTCCGCAGAGGGGGTGCTTTCAAAAAGAGGGTACGAGCATTATGCGTACCCTAAATAACACTGAGTTGGGGGGGGCGGGGTAATAACTAAGTCACTAAGTAATAACTAAGTCACCAAGTAATAAGTAAGTCACTAAAGTAATAACTAAGTCACTAAGTAATAACCAAGTCACTTAAGTAATAACTAAGTCAAAAGGTAATAACTAAGTCACGAAGTAATAACTAAGTAATAGCTTAGTAATAACTAAGTCCTTAAGTCGCACTACAAAATTAACAAACATCTATAAATAAAAAACGACCAAAGTAAATCTCAATTGTTTTTATTGACTAAAATAGCCCCGCAGACACAAAGCAAATCGGGAGAAATGTGGCAATGATTAGTGAACATTTTTAGAGCACGTCTGGCGTAAGAGAATGAGCGAGAAGCACGTGTATCCGCAAATTTTAGGAGAGATTCGGCAAGGTGGATCCATAATAAATACAAATATGCCCCTCACCTGTAAACAAATCTATTAATACACATAGATCTGCATGGTAGGCTATATCAAAACATGTCGTGGAATTTGTACCCTCCCCTTCCTTCAGACTAACGTTTATTCGCCCTTTTTTAATTCTAAATATTGTGATATTTTGGTTGTTAGTTGAAATGAGGGACTCCTGAATAATAACGCAACAAACCGTGACTTCCTGTCAGGCCGTATGGTTTATTCAGTCATATTCGAAGGGCCTCTGGCGCCCTCTTGCATTATAAACATTATAGTCTCAATTATATCACATAAACAGAATCTTGTTGCATCCTTCCCCTTTTTTTGAGTTTTGGCGAAAGATGTCAAAGACAATAAAGTGTGGAATTTTCTTATGCAAAATCAATGACTCAGTTTCTGTCTGCGAACAGAGTATAATGATGTTCATTAGTTCATCCATATGTGTTGTGGAACATTGACCAAAGACAAAATAGTATACCAAAACTGTTTACTAGAAATTGTTTATGTGACCTTTACAATGTAATAAAGTCAATAAATATGAAATATGAGAAAATATCCTCCTGGAGTATATCAATGATCCAGTCTATAAAGAGTTCAGTTTAAAATGTTGGTTAGGAGTCCAATAACATCTGTACTGGAGCATCATATAACTGCACCCCCATACAAACTAGGGGTTCAGGAGGTTCGCGCGACCCCCACACCCCCCCCCCCTTTTTGTGCTTAAAGGTAAAGACCAGTAATGGTCATGCGATTGCATTGTGAAAGAAACGTTGTGGAATCGATCAGAAAAGGTTGATCATCTAGCATCTAGCATTTGCAAGGTTCTGGAATCATCAAAATGATAAGAAATTTGGCCCATTCTTCGTAAAGTTACAAGCACTATACACAGAAAGATGTATATGGGACTACCCTATCTCTCTCACCAGACCATGAGAGAAATAAGTTTACCAAATATATGAATTAGTAGGCGGTTTCCCGGCAAATTTTTTATCATCATGTATTAGTCAAAACATATTCTTTCACATGATTGGTAATGAGAGCTTCCATTTCATTTTTTGAAATTGGGGCGTTGCCAATACTGGTCTTTACCTTTAAGAGGGGGGGGGGGGTTGATTTAAAAAAAAATGGTGCTCCATACCCCCCCCCCCCTGCTGATTCGCCGCTAAACATTTTTTCTCTCAAAAAAGTTGGCAACCTTAAGACCCCCCCCCCCCTCAAAGATACTATGTCCCTTTTGCAGCCAACATCGAATTATGTAGAACTTTGCAGGAATTATGAATATGTCATGTATGTTCTATCTGTGAAATTTAAACGTTAGCAGTGTCCCAATATTCAAACTATGCAAGGAAACTCGTTTACTTGCTAGACTTCACTGACAGACATTATTGAATGACTGACTGGATTTGTAATAACATACTTAAAATGAGCTGTAAAGGGTACATGTCTTGGGCATTTGTCTACATCATTAACCCACTTCTTGTAATGGCCAAAATTAAACTGATTGAATCTTTGCGCTGCATAAAACGTACGACCATTCGGTATAATGGTATAAAAATCAGATTATTACTTACTGGCTCGATAGCTCTTAAGCCGATTCGACAACTAAAAGTCGTTGTTTTTCCCACTTAAAGACATTTTCAAGCCCCCCCCCTTTTTTTTTAGGGCAGTTCTAAATGAGTTTTATCTTTCAATGCCATTGGAATTTAATCTTCATTTTTTTGGCCTGCAGATGGGACATAGTACCTTCAAACTGCAACATCATTGTCCGACAGACGTCATCTGAAGTGTGTGTTTTTTTAAAGTTCAACGCAAAAATTTATGTTCAGAAAATGGGATTCCAAAGTCAAAACCTCACAAGGAATTATTGGAACAATGACCTCTATTAATGTTATTAGTGTCAAAGTTGCATATTATGAAAAATACGCCAAAACAAACAGGTCGATACTTCTTTCTTCTTTTTGTTTGTCTTTGATTAACGTGAAACAAAATCCTGATACTTCTCTTGACCTCTTCGCTGGCGAGTCAAACGTCTTACTGGAACAACAGGTGGTTCTCTCAGTAGGTTGACGTCATCAGTAGACCTGTCTCCTCCAGGGTAGGTAGTGTAATGGGGGCCCTCAGTGCGAATATCTGTCTCTGGTCTAGTGGTGACCAGAACAGGGCTGGTAGAAGACTGAATACCAGATGGAGTACGATCTGTCTCTGTTCTGGTGGTGACCAGATCAGGGCTGGTACAAGACCGGATACCATATTAATGACGATCTGTCCCTGGTCTAGAGGTGACCAGGACAGGGCTGGTAGAAGACCAGAAACCAGATGAAGGACGATCTGTCTCTGGTCTAGTAGTGACCAGAACAGGGCTGGTAGAAGACTGGATACTAAATGAAGGACGGCCTGTCCCTGGTCTAGAGGTAACCAGAACAGGGCTGGTAGAAGACTGGATACCAGATTAAGGACGATCTGTCTGGTGACCAGAACAGGGCTGGTACAAGACCGGATACCAGATTAAGGACGATCTGTCCCTGGTCTAGAGGTGACCAGGACAGGGCTGGTAGAAGACCAGAAACCAGATGAAGGACGATCTGTCTCTGGTCTAGTGGTGACCAGAACAGGGCTGGTAGAAGACTGAATACCAGATGGGGAGCACGATCTGTCTGGTGACCAGAACAGGGCTGGTACAAGACCGGATACCAGGTTAAGGACGATCTGTCCCTGGTCTAGAGGTGACCAGGACAGGGCTGGTAGAAGACCAGAAACCAGATGAAGGACGATCTGTCTCTGGTCTAGTGGTGACCAGAACAGGGCTGGTAGAAGACAGAATACCAGATGGAGTACGATCTGTCTCTGTTCTGGTAGTGACCAGATCAGGGCTGGTACAAGACTGGATACCAGATTAAGGACGATCTGTCTGGTGACCAGAACAGGGCTGGTACAAGACCGGATACCAGGTTAAGGACGATCTGTCCCTGGTCTAGAGGTGACCAGGACAGGGCTGGTAGAAGACCAGAAACCAGATGAAGGACGATCTGTCTCTGGTCTAGTGGTGACCAGAACAGGGCTGGTAGAAGACTGAATACCAGATGGGGAGCACGATCTGTCTCTGTTCTGGTGGTGACCAGATCAGGGCTGGTACAAGACTGAATACCAGATAGAGTACGATCTGTCTCTGTTCTGGTGGTGACCAGATCAGGGCTGGTACTAGACCGGATACCAGATGGAGGACGATCTGGCTCTGGTCTAGAGGTGACCAGAACATAATTCTTTGGATCAGGTAGTTCTCTGCTAGCCCTCAGGTGTTCTCTGTTACTTCTGTAGATTGAAGTGTCGTGGTCTACTTCATAAGATCGTTCACCTAGTCGTCTGAGTACTACTGCTTTCCTCCAACGGCCTTCTCTATGGCGAAATAGCTTCATCCGCACCACATCACCTTCATCAAGATCAGGCAATTCCTTGGTCTGTTTGTCAAAATGCGTTGCCTGCCTCTTCTTGTTAAGCTCAAGTTGGTGTCTCTCATGCTCACTTTTTTGTCTGTTGTCTTAGTTTTGGTACGCCGTCCTAGGAATCATTGAACTGGGCCGGAGTCCACACCTTGACTTGGAGTATTCCTCACATTCAGCAGAGCAAGGTTCTCATCCTCTCCAGATGATTTGCACTTCTGCAACTTCTTCGTTGCCTCCACAGCTGCATATGCCTTCCCATTTGCCTTGCTGTTGGCGGGCGGTATCTGAATTTCAAAGAGGAAAATCACATTTCAAGAAAGTTCATTGTCTGCCCTTTCGTATGACACGTCAATCAGGAAAATGAGCCAGGAATAACAAAATTCTGTTTGTTTAAAGTAATGCTTGCATATTCCATAATTTTATTAAAAGAGTTCGTTTTCACTGGCTGCCTGTCGTAGCAACAACAGAGTTGACAAAAGACTTAAAGGCCGGCTCACACGGTAGCGGCAAAGACCCCACGAAAGGCGACGGACGTGAAAATCACAAGATGCTGGCGGTAAAGCGACGGCAAAAGGGGAAAACCAAGATTCCATGACGGGTGGGAACGACCTTCAGCGACAACATGACGGCAAGGGACGAATGGCTGTGGCATGGAACGGAGTCAGTGACCAAAATCGGACGTTGTCTGGGCGATGACTGACGATGTACCGACGGAGCCTGGCAACAAGGAACGATGCCAGACGGCTGGCAGCGGATTGGCTGGCGGCAAGGAACGGCGGCTGACGGAGGGTTGCGCGGCCACGATGACGTGACTCAGCGGCCGACATCAAAGCTCACATACGTAGCAAAACGTGAATAAAATCGTGGACCATCGTTTAAAAATCGTAACACATCCCAGACCGCCGTTGCAGTGCTGCAGGTACTCGCAAACGACCCGCCATCAACAGTCATTAACCGTCACCCTCTGGCCAAAATTCATAATTCGTCATCACACCAAGGTTGTTACGATTTCGTTACTTGCCGCTTAATGTGTCGTCAGGGTTCGAGATGTGACGTTACTCTTGCCGTTGTTTTGCCGTCAATGGTCGTTGACAACGACAACGACGACCTCAAAACGACTAGAGACGGAATCGAACGGCATGGAACTTCAAGGCAATGAGGGTTGTGGTCTCCGACGAAATCTGAACGGAATCACAACGATTTTTGTTTTGCCGCCACAAAATGTTCAACATGCTGAAATATTGTCGACGGACGCGATTGATAATTTCGGCCGTCTGCAGTCGCTAGCGGATTCTTCAACGACAATTAAAGGCAACACACGATGATCGGCGGGAAATTCAATATTGCAATTCGCAGCTTAACGTAGCTTGCGGTAACTCCGTTTCGTGGACGATCAGCCATGCACTCAGAAGACAAAAGACGTGATGTAATTCCTGGCTCATTTTTCCTGATTGAGGTGTTATGTAAAAGGGCAGAAAATGAACTTTCTAGAATTGTGATTTTCTCTTTGAAATTCAGATACCGCCCGCCAAAAGCCTTTTTGGAATCCTCTCTTCAAATTGCTATAATCACACATGCGTGAAATATGCATCATATGAGTTGCATCAAATGAAAGAAGAGGAGCTTTACAAATATGTGTCATTTATTAATTATAATTGTGATTAAGTTATGATAAAACATCGATAATTCTCGGTTTCGTTTTTTCTGGGACGAACTGTATAAACCCATAAAGGGACTACAAAAAAGGATGAAACATAATTTAACTTTGTTATTGCATAAGCTTTCAATAAATGTATTTTACCCATGATAGTCAAATCCCGTTGTCTCCACCAACCTAGAAGCTTTTTCATTTTACTTAATATTTCTTTATAATTCAAATCATCTTTTGATCTAAAATCCTAACATTTCTGCTTTCCTAACGAATTTTCAAAATAAAGGCCCATCTGGTTTTCCAATTTCCTCACCGATATACATAAAATGTTTCTTTTCCTTATTCACCTTTAAGCCTCTAACTTTTTCAAATTGACTTTCATATCTATAAAGATCAAATTCTCTAAATCTGCAATGTTTGCAACCCCTCTCGCAAATAGTGTGGTTGAGGTTGGGCTCGGAAAATAATACAATATTCTGATATAATGGATTGGGGCCAAGTGAAATGGGAAATGTATGTGTGTGTTGAGTGTGTGTGGTGTACAGGAGCGGATCCAAGGGAGGGGGGGCGGGGGGGGCGGGGGGGGGGGGGATCGAGCGGGCCTTGCCCCCCTCCCCTGGCAAAAAAAGAAGTGGAAAAAAGAAGAAGAGGGAAACATATTAGTATGCTTACAACCCCCCCCCCCCCCAGCTTTTTATTGCTCAAATGTTCTCATTTCTTAATCATTATTTTCCTATATGCATTACTTTTGAACTAGGTTAATGATGATTATTTTCAAGTTTCAAGTTTTTCAAGTTTATTTGTTTCACATTTCACCATTAAAAAGAATTCACATAATTGACAAAATTAGAACATAATATGAAATATACTAAAAGTGTCACATTATATAATTAATTCTTTGAAAAGACGTCGAAATTAATTGTAATGAATAGAAGGTTATACAGAGTGAAATGTGAGGAACCTATCAAAAAGCTCAGCTTGTAGATTATAGGTTCCCAAAAATAAAACTAACATTTGGTTGAAGTGGTTGTAATGATTGAGGACGTAACAGTAATAATAGGTGGGCAAGAAGGCCTTGACATAAGATGATATACAACGTGAAACAAGCAAAAATAGCAAAAATAGCAAATACAGCAAGCAAATTAATACGTTACCAAAAATATTAGTGAGACGATAGTCACTTTAAAATATTGAGGTCATTAAACGAGGTCATTGAATGAGGTCACCCGAGCGAGGCAGTAGACATGAATAATAATGTAGGCCGTAGCCCAGACACAATCCTGTTTCCAACATGCATTCACACCCATGCACGTCTGCTCCCAGAGAGCCCCAAGGCGCGCAAACGCATTCACCTGTGTCACGCCCCGTGCATGCCTCCCCCGCAGTATCACCTGCATGAACCAGTTTTGCAAACGAGAAGTCGTTTGTGCCACGTCTATCATTGCTGTGTTATATCTTTCTAAATGTACGATGAAATTTTATTTTAACTGTTCTGTATAAACGCAATGTTTTGATGTAAATATGTTCATGTTTCTTCAGGGCCCCATGAAAGTCCACTACTTATTGGTGAATGGGCTACCCTGACAAAAGATTAGAAATAAATAAATAAATAAATTTATATTGTTATCTTTACCTTTGGTTGAGCATAGTTTTATAGAAAATAAAACTATCCAGTGTTTGATTCATCCCCTCTACTTTTCATTCCACTTATAACGACATTTTTCTTCTTCTAAAAATTAAAAAGAGTTCAATACTTTGCCTACTTGTAAGGAGATAAGCCATGATGTCTCTTTTACTTCGTGAATTATGTTTTTTCACAAACTGAATAACACAGAGGATATAATTCATTGATTGTGCACACGCACAATGGACCGCCCTTCAGTATTGAAGCGATGCCAGAAAAAAGGCGCCGCATAATCAAAAGGGAAATCCAAAAGAATTTAACTCTTAGAATACCAGGCAGAATAATGTATGGGATTTACTTGCAGGGTCTGAACAACAGTGCTTTAATGGCACAGTATGGATTAGCATTACAAAATTGTGCATGAAACTACATGCCAAAAAATCAATTGATCTGCGTTTTGCACTCCTTCCAAACAACGTACATATTTTCCTTTCATACTGGAATCATAGATAATAGAGTACAGTAACCCCTTACTGAGAGGCCAAATACGTCATGTAAGCGGGAAATAATCAAACAGAAGGCTCAGCTGCTTTTATTAGTACTTCACAAGGGGAAAGACATGTGTCATTTTGAACAGGTCAAAATTCAAAAGTACTTGCAAAATACCTTATTTACTACAGAACTTAGCTGTGGGCACAAGTCTTTCCCAAATTAATGTATGTAACCGATCTGACCAATGAAGTAGAAGAAGTTGGCTAAGGCAATAGTTTGCGACGGGGACAATATTGTCCACGAATTTACGAACTTGTCTATTATATTGTATGTATTGTATACATTCAAATTTGTAATCGAGGCTATGTTGTGATTACCCCATATAAAATTTAAGTAACCGAATTGAATTATGCTGCTCCACGGCCGCCAGAAGCCTGGGTGCAGATATCTAATTATTATGATAAAATACACATGTTCAGTCAACTAAGGAATATCTTTCTTCCAATGTAATCTATATTATCGGGTCTCCCGAACGTGGTAGAACAATATACAATGGCACCTAAAAGGAAAGAGTTTCACGGGTCAGGCTATTTCATGACCCATGTGTAAGCAAGAAATATGTGTATGAGTTTGGCTGAAGTTTAGAATCTTGTCACTTAATACAAAGTCCAGAAATTTTATTCTTATCGTCTTTTCCAAGTTCAGCTTTTTATCGCTCAAATGTTTCAATTTCTATACCTTTTGGTTGAACAAACTTTAATGTTAAACCATCCAGGGTTTGATTCACCCCCTCTACTTTTCATTCCACTTATAACGACATTTTTCTTCTTCTCAAGATTAAAAAGAGTTCAATACTTTGTTTGCCTACTTGTAGAAAGATAAGCCATGAAGTCTCTTTTACTTCGTGAATAATATTTTGTCACCACTGAATAACACAGAGGATACAATTCATGGAGTGTACACACGCACAATGGTATTCCCCCCAGAATTGAAGCGATACCAGAAAACAGGCGCCACATAATCAAAAGGGGAATCCCAAAAGAATTTAACTCTTAGAATACCAGGCAGAATAATATATGGGATTTACGTGCAGGGTCTGAGCAACAGTGCTTTAATGGCATAGTATGGGTTAACATTACAAAATTGTGCATGAAACCACATGCAAACAATCAAATGATCTACAATGGAATCGAATTGCGTTTTGCACTCCTTCCAAACAATGTACATATTTTCCTTTCAAAATGGAATCATAGATAATAGAGTACAGTAACCCCTCACTGAGAGGCAAAATACGTCATGTAAGCGAGCAACAATCAAGTCCAGAAGGCTCTGCTGCTTTTATTGGTACTTCACAAAGGGAAAGACATGTGTCCTTTTGAACAGGTCAAAATTCAAAAGTACTTTCAAAATACCTGATTTACTACAGAACTTAGCTGTGGGCACCAGTCTTTCCCAAATTAATGTATGCAACCGATCTGACCATTAAAGAGAAGAAGCTGGCTAATGCAATAGTTTGCAACGGGGACAAAATTATCCATGGATTTACGAACCTGTCGATTAAATTTTATGTATTGTTTGCATTCAAATTTGTAATCGAGGCTATGTCGTGATTACCTCATATGAAATTTAAGTATCCGAATTGAATTATGCTGCTCCGTGGTCGCCAGAAGCCTGGGTGCAGATATCTAATTATTAGGGACGTTTAGATTTGCGTGGACTGATACGTGTGACGTCCATTCAAGGCAGTGCATTAAAATGACGTCGACCGTAGCAATCCCCATTGTCTTCGCGCATATCGAAAAGTGCCTATTATGATAAAATACACATGTTCAGTCAACTAAGGAATATCTTTCTTCCAATGTAATATATATAATCGTGTCCCCCAGTCGTGGTAGGATAATATACAATGGCACCTAAAAGTAAAGTGTTTTATGGGTCAGGCTATTGCATGACCCATGTGTAAAAAAGAAAAGTGTGTATGAGTTTTGCTAAAGTTTGGAATCTTTCCACCTAAAAAGTCCCAAACATTTGTATTTCCTTTCCGTCCGGAGGGGGGGGGGGGGGTTATCCCTTCTTTGATTTATATTTTATACAATTCTGTGTCTTTTCTTACTTCTCTATTCGATGTTTAACTATGCATTACGGTAAATATTAATACATATTGACACATTCATGTGTACCTCATTCCAACGAGGCAGGTTAACGTTCTCAGAAAAGCCCTCCGACGACCTAAGCTGTAAATGAGAATTAATGTCTTTCTTTTCTTCTTTTCAACCGGGACTTCCATAAAAAAAGACTTTGTATAACATGTATTTGGACTTCGATGCAACGGATAAATACTGATGACAGGAAATAATTCACCATCATCATCTTCACTTCCATCACCGTGATTACCATAAACTTTGAAATACTGGACACATCGTCGCCGCCGTTATCGTCATCGTTGATATCACAATTACGATTTCAGTCGATTTTTTTTTTGTCCTCACCCTTCACCGCATTATGATTACCATACCCAGTGCCATAATCAGAGTTAATATTTGCTTTTTTTCTTGAGTCATTAAATTATTAAAGGATACGAATCAGCTTCCTCCACGAATAGTTAGTATTTTGAATAATTTGTATTGAGAAACGTCAGTAGGGGGCAAATGTATGCTTCTTTATTAGGAATTGCGTCAAAAACATGTAAAACGTTGACTGTTTGTCATTTTTTGGGCAAAACTCTTTCACTCCTTGAACATTTTATGTAAATGTATGTCTGTGAAAAAACGAGAAGGAGAGAAGCCTAACGATGGAATATGAATAGCAGATATTTGAATTACGTTGTGTATTTGCGTTACGATTTAGTTCACTGCACAGGACTTTGGAACTTATTGAAAACGACAAAAATTACAATTGCCCATTGCGATTATGAATTTGAAAGAAGAAAATTCAGTGTAGTGTTTACTTATGCTTGTGACTTGCGAAATGTAACCGGACTATCTGCTACGATTATTAATCGAACCATTCCGAAGTCGAGCGTATTGAGAGAAGTAGACGATTACAAGAACCTCTGCCAGATTAGGATGTCTGATAAACCTGTACTACTTCAGGTATGGAGGACATAAATCAACAACTTCATGAGGCAGTATCGAGGGGTAAAATCAAAACTGTCAAAAAAGTGCTAAAACAGGGTTCTAATATAAACCAGCAAGACCACGATGGAAACACACACTTACACACAGCGGTCCAGTATGGCCAGGAGACCGTCACTGAGTATCTCATAAAGCATGGAGCTGATGTGGAGAAGGCGACTCCAGATGGACAAACACCCTTACATCTTGCTGCTTCACTCGGACGTCTTAAAGCATCGAAAGTTATACTCAGTCATGGAGCTAATATGGACAAAGAAGACAAGGACGGCTACTCTGCATTGGTGAGCGCTGTAAGAAAAGGTCATCTTAATGTAGTAAGATACTTTATCAGTAAGGGTGCAAAAGTGAATCAGGGCAATACTAAAGGCTGGACTCCTTTATTCATTGCAGCAGGGAACGGTAAACTTGATGTAGTGAAATATCTCATCAGTCAAGGAGCTGAGGTGAATAGGGAAAATAATGACGGTTGGACTGCATTACGCACTGCTGCTTTCAATGGTCATCTTGATGTGACCAAATATCTCATCAGTAAAGGAGCTGAAGTAAATATGGGAGATAATGAGGGTGCGACTGCATTTCAACTTGCTGCTCAAGAGGGTCATCTTGATGTCACCAAATATCTGATGAGTCAAGGAGCTGAAGTGAATAAGGGGGGCAAAGAAGGCAAGACTGCATTACACGGTGCTGCTTTCGATGGTCATCTTGATGTCGTCAAATATCTAATCGGTCAAGGAGCCGCGGTGAATAGGGGAGATAATGATGGTAAAACTGCATTACACAGTGCTGCTCAGTATGGTCATCTTAATGTCACCAAATATCTCATCAATCAAGGAGCTGAGGTGAATAAGGGAGACAAAGACGGCAAGACGGCATTACACGGTGCTGCTTTCGATGGTCATCTTGATGTCATCAAATATCTAATCAGTCAAGGAGCCGAAGTGAATAGGGGAGATAATGAGGGAAAAACTGCATTACACAGTCCTGCTCAGGAGGGTCATCTTGATGTCACCGACTATCTGATTAGTCAAGGAGCTGAGGTGAATAAGGGAGATAACACAGGTAGGACTGCATTACGCACTGCTGCTTTCAATGGTCATCATGATGTGACCAAATATCTCATCAACCAAGGAGCTGAAGTGAATATGGGAGATAATGAGGGTGTGACTGCATTACAACTTGCTGCTCAAGAGGGTCATCTTGATGTCACCAAATTTCTGATAAGTCAGGAAGCTGAGGTGAATAGGGGCAATAATGAAGGTAGGACTGCATTACACAGTGCTGCTTTTAATGGTCATCTGGATGTGACCAAATATCTCATCAATGAAGGAGCTGAGGTGAATATAGGAGATAATGAGAGTGTGACTGCATTAGAAGTTGCTGCTCAGGAGGGTCATATTGATGTCACCAAATATCTCATCAATCAAGGTGCTGAGGTGAATAAGGGAGACAAAGACGGCAAGACGGCATTACACGGTGCTGCTTTCGATGGTCATCTTGATGTCATCAAATATCTAATCAGTCAAGGAGCCGAAGTGAATAGGGGAGATAATGAGGGTAAAACTGCATTACACAGTGCTGCTCAGAAGGGTCATCTTGATGTCACCGACTATCTGATTAGTCAAGGAGCTGAGGTGAATAAGGGAGATAACACAGGTAGGACTGCATTACGCACTGCTGCTTTCAATGGTCATCATGATGTGACCAAATATCTCATCAACCAAGGAGCTGAAGTGAATATGGGAGATAATGAGGGTGTGACTGCATTACAACTTGCTGCTCAAGAGGGTCATCTTGATGTCACCAAATTTCTGATAAGTCAGGAAGCTGAGGTGAATAGGGGCAATAATGAAGGTAGGACTGCATTACACAGTGCTGCTTTTAATGGTCATCTGGATGTGACCAAATATCTCATCAATGAAGGAGCTGAGGTGAATATAGGAGATAATGAGAGTGTGACTGCATTAGAAGTTGCTGCTCAGGAGGGTCATATTGATGTCACCAAATATCTGATCAGCCAAGGAGCTGAAATGAATAAGGGAGATAATAGAGGTTGGACTTTATTACAAAGGGCTGCAATCAAGGGTCATCTTAATGTCACCAAATATCTCATCAGTCAAGGAGCTGAAGTGAATATAGGAGATATTGAGGGTAGGACTTCATTACACAGTGCTGCTCAGAATGGTCATCTTGATGTCACCGAATATCTGATCAATCAAGGAGCTGAGGTGATTAAGGGAGATAATGAGGGTGTGACTGCATTACAAGCTGCTGCTCAGGAGGGTCATCTTGATGTCACCAAATATCTCATCATTCAAGGAGCTGAGGTGAATAGGGGAGATAACACCGGTAGGACTGCATTACACAGTGCTGCTCAGAATGTTCATCTTGAGGTCACCAATTATCTAATCAGTCAAGGAGCTGAGGCGAAGAAGGGAGACAAAGACGGCAAGACGGCATTACACTTTGCTGCTCAGGAGGGTCATATTGATGTAACCAAATATCTCATCAATCAAGGTGCTGAGGTGAATAAGGGAGACAAAGACGGCAAGACGGCATTACACGGTGCTGCTTTCGATGGTCATCTTGATGTCATCAAATATCTAATCAGTCAAGGAGCCGAAGTGAATAGGGGAGATAATGAGGGTAAAACTGCATTACACAGTGCTGCTCAGAAGGGTCATCTTGATGTCACCGACTATCTGATTAGTCAAGGAGCTGAGGTGAATAAGGGAGATAACACAGGTAGGACTGCATTACGCACTGCTGCTTTCAATGGTCATCATGATGTGACCAAATATCTCATCAATGAAGGAGCTGAGGTGAATATAGGAGATAATGAGAGTGTGACTGCATTAGAAGTTGCTGCTCAGGAGGGTCATATTGATGTCACCAAATATCTGATCAGCCAAGGAGCTGAGATGAATAAGGGAGATAATAGAGGTAGGACTGCACTACAAAGTGCTGCAATCAAGGGTCATCTTAATGTCACCAAATATCTAATCAGTCAAGGAGCTGAAGTGAATATAGGAGATAATGAGGGTGTAACTGCATTACAAGCTGCTGCTCAAGAGGGTCATCTTGATGTCACCAAATTTCTGATAAGTCAGGAAGCTGAGGTGAATAGGGGCAATAATGAAGGTAGGACTGCATTACACAGTGCTGCTTTTAATGGTCATCTGGATGTGACCAAATATCTCATCAATGAAGGAGCTGAGGTGAATATAGGAGATAATGAGAGTGTGACTGCATTAGAAGTTGCTGCTCAGGAGGGTCATATTGATGTCACCAAATATCTGATCAGCCAAGGAGCTGAAATGAATAAGGGAGATAATAGAGGTTGGACTGCATTACAAAGTGCTGCAATCAAGGGTCATCTTAATGTCATCGAATATCTGATCAGTCAAGGAGCTGATGTTAATAGGGGAAATAATGACGGTTGGACTGCATTACACAGTGCTGCTCAGAATGGTCATCTTGATGTCACCGAATATCTAATCAATCAAGGAGCTGAGGTGAATAAGGGAGATAACACAGGTAGGACTGCATTGCGCACTGCTGCTTCCAATGGTCATCATGATGTGACCAAATATCTCATCAATCAAGGAGCTGAGGTGAATACGGGAGATAATGAGGGTAGGACTTTATTACACAGTGCTGCTCAGAATGGTCATCTTGATGTCACCGAATATCTGATCAATCAAGGAGCTGAGGTGAATAAGGGAGATAATGAGGGTGTGACTGCATTACAAGCTGCTGCTCAGGAGGGTCATCTTGATGTCACCAAATATCTCATCATTCAAGGAGCTGAGGTGAATAGGGGAGATAACACAGGTAGGACTGCATTACACAGTGCTGCTCAGAATGTTCATCTTGAGGTCACCAATTATCTCATCAGTCAAGGAGCTGAAGTGAATATAGGATATAATGACGGTTCGACTGCATTACACAGTGCTGCTCAATATGGTCATCTTCAAGTCACCAAATATCTCATCAGTGAAGGAGCTGAGACGAAAAAGGGAGATAATGACGGGAAGACTGCTTTACACCTTGCTGCTCAGGGGGGTCATATTGATGTCACCAAATATCTGATCAGTCAAGGAGCTGAGGTGAATATGGGAAATAATGACGGTTGGACTGCGTTACACAGTGCTGCTCAATGTGGTCATCTTAATGTCATCAAATTTCTAATCAGTCAAGGAGCCAAGGTGAATAGGGGAGATCACAGAGGTAGGACTGCATTACGCACTGCTGCTGCCAATGGTCATCTTGATGTCACTACATATCTGATCGGTCAGGAAGCTGAGGTGAATAAGGGAAATAATAACGGTTTGACTGCATTACACAGTGCTGCATTCCATGGTCATCTTGATGTCACCAAATATCTCATCAGTCAAGGAGCTGAGGTGATTAAGAGGGACAATGACGGTAAGACTGCATTACACCTTGCCGCAAACAAGGATCATCTTGATATGACCAAATATCTGATCAGTCAAGGAGCTGAAGTAAATATGGGAGATAATGAGGGTTGGACTGCATTGCACAGTGCTGCTCAGAAGGGTCATCTTGAAGTCACCAAATATCTGATCAGTCAAGGAGCTAAAGTGAATATGGGTGATAATGAGGGTGTGACTGTATTACACATTGCTGCTCAGGAGGGTCATCTTGATGTCACCAAATATCTGATCAGTCAAGGAGCTAAAGTGAATATGGGTGATAATGAGGGTGTGACTGCATTACACATTGCTGCTCAGGAGGGTCATATTGATGTCACCGAATACTTGATCATTCAAGGAGCTGAGGTGAATAAGGGAGATAACAGAGGTATGACTGCATTACGCACTGCTGCTTTCAATGGTCATCATGATGTGACCAAATATCTCATCAACCAAGGAGCTGAGGTGATTAAGAGGGACAATGACGGTAAGACTGCATTACACCTTGCCGCAAACAAGGATCATCTTGATATGACCAAATATCTGATCAGTCAAGGAGCTGAAGTAAATATGGGAGATAATGAGGGTTGGACTGCATTGCACAGTGCTGCTCAGAAGGGTCATCTTGAAGTCACCAAATATCTGATCAGTCAAGGAGCTAAAGTGAATATGGGTGATAATGAGGGTGTGACTGTATTACACATTGCTGCTCAGGAGGGTCATCTTGATGTCATCAAATATCTAATCAGTCAAGGAGCCGAAGTGAATAGGGGAGATAATGAGGGAAAAACTGCATTACACAGTCCTGCTCAGGAGGGTCATCTTGATGTCACCGACTATCTGATTAGTCAAGGAGCTGAGGTGAATAAGGGAGATAACACAGGTAGGACTGCATTACGCACTGCTGCTTTCAATGGTCATCATGATGTGACCAAATATCTCATCAACCAAGGAGCTGAAGTGAATATGGGAGATAATGAGGGTGTGACTGCATTACAACTTGCTGCTCAAGAGGGTCATCTTGATGTCACCAAATTTCTGATAAGTCAGGAAGCTGAGGTGAATAGGGGCAATAATGAAGGTAGGACTGCATTACACAGTGCTGCTTTTAATGGTCATCTGGATGTGACCAAATATCTCATCAATGAAGGAGCTGAGGTGAATATAGGAGATAATGAGAGTGTGACTGCATTAGAAGTTGCTGCTCAGGAGGGTCATATTGATGTCACCAAATATCTCATCAATCAAGGTGCTGAGGTGAATAAGGGAGACAAAGACGGCAAGACGGCATTACACGGTGCTGCTTTCGATGGTCATCTTGATGTCATCAAATATCTAATCAGTCAAGGAGCCGAAGTGAATAGGGGAGATAATGAGGGTAAAACTGCATTACACAGTGCTGCTCAGAAGGGTCATCTTGATGTCACCGACTATCTGATTAGTCAAGGAGCTGAGGTGAATAAGGGAGATAACACAGGTAGGACTGCATTACGCACTGCTGCTTTCAATGGTCATCATGATGTGACCAAATATCTCATCAACCAAGGAGCTGAAGTGAATATGGGAGATAATGAGGGTGTGACTGCATTACAACTTGCTGCTCAAGAGGGTCATCTTGATGTCACCAAATTTCTGATAAGTCAGGAAGCTGAGGTGAATAGGGGCAATAATGAAGGTAGGACTGCATTACACAGTGCTGCTTTTAATGGTCATCTGGATGTGACCAAATATCTCATCAATGAAGGAGCTGAGGTGAATATAGGAGATAATGAGAGTGTGACTGCATTAGAAGTTGCTGCTCAGGAGGGTCATATTGATGTCACCAAATATCTGATCAGCCAAGGAGCTGAAATGAATAAGGGAGATAATAGAGGTTGGACTTTATTACAAAGGGCTGCAATCAAGGGTCATCTTAATGTCACCAAATATCTCATCAGTCAAGGAGCTGAGGTGAATAGGGGAGATAACACCGGTAGGACTGCATTACACAGTGCTGCTCAGAATGTTCATCTTGAGGTCACCAATTATCTAATCAGTCAAGGAGCTGAGGCGAAGAAGGGAGACAAAGACGGCAAGACGGCATTACACTTTGCTGCTCAGGAGGGTCATATTGATGTAACCAAATATCTCATCAATCAAGGTGCTGAGGTGAATAAGGGAGACAAAGACGGCAAGACGGCATTACACGGTGCTGCTTTCGATGGTCATCTTGATGTCATCAAATATCTAATCAGTCAAGGAGCCGAAGTGAATAGGGGAGATAATGAGGGTAAAACTGCATTACACAGTGCTGCTCAGAAGGGTCATCTTGATGTCACCGACTATCTGATTAGTCAAGGAGCTGAGGTGAATAAGGGAGATAACACAGGTAGGACTGCATTACGCACTGCTGCTTTCAATGGTCATCATGATGTGACCAAATATCTCATCAATGAAGGAGCTGAGGTGAATATAGGAGATAATGAGAGTGTGACTGCATTAGAAGTTGCTGCTCAGGAGGGTCATATTGATGTCACCAAATATCTGATCAGCCAAGGAGCTGAGATGAATAAGGGAGATAATAGAGGTTGGACTGCACTACAAAGTGCTGCAATCAAGGGTCATCTTAATGTCACCAAATATCTAATCAGTCAAGGAGCTGAAGTGAATATAGGAGATAATGAGGGTGTAACTGCATTACAAGCTGCTGCTCAAGAGGGTCATCTTGATGTCACCAAATTTCTGATAAGTCAGGAAGCTGAGGTGAATAGGGGCAATAATGAAGGTAGGACTGCATTACACAGTGCTGCTTTTAATGGTCATCTGGATGTGACCAAATATCTCATCAATGAAGGAGCTGAGGTGAATATAGGAGATAATGAGAGTGTGACTGCATTAGAAGTTGCTGCTCAGGAGGGTCATATTGATGTCACCAAATATCTCATCAATCAAGGTGCTGAGGTGAATAAGGGAGACAAAGACGGCAAGACGGCATTACACGGTGCTGCTTTCGATGGTCATCTTGATGTCATCAAATATCTAATCAGTCAAGGAGCCGAAGTGAATAGGGGAGATAATGAGGGTAAAACTGCATTACACAGTGCTGCTCAGAAGGGTCATCTTGATGTCACCGACTATCTGATTAGTCAAGGAGCTGAGGTGAATAAGGGAGATAACACAGGTAGGACTGCATTACGCACTGCTGCTTTCAATGGTCATCATGATGTGACCAAATATCTCATCAACCAAGGAGCTGAAGTGAATATGGGAGATAATGAGGGTGTGACTGCATTACAACTTGCTGCTCAAGAGGGTCATCTTGATGTCACCAAATTTCTGATAAGTCAGGAAGCTGAGGTGAATAGGGGCAATAATGAAGGTAGGACTGCATTACACAGTGCTGCTTTTAATGGTCATCTGGATGTGACCAAATATCTCATCAATGAAGGAGCTGAGGTGAATATAGGAGATAATGAGAGTGTGACTGCATTAGAAGTTGCTGCTCAGGAGGGTCATATTGATGTCACCAAATATCTGATCAGCCAAGGAGCTGAAATGAATAAGGGAGATAATAGAGGTTGGACTTTATTACAAAGGGCTGCAATCAAGGGTCATCTTAATGTCACCAAATATCTCATCAGTCAAGGAGCTGAGGTGAATAGGGGAGATAACACCGGTAGGACTGCATTACACAGTGCTGCTCAGAATGTTCATCTTGAGGTCACCAATTATCTAATCAGTCAAGGAGCTGAGGCGAAGAAGGGAGACAAAGACGGCAAGACGGCATTACACTTTGCTGCTCAGGAGGGTCATATTGATGTAACCAAATATCTCATCAATCAAGGTGCTGAGGTGAATAAGGGAGACAAAGACGGCAAGACGGCATTACACGGTGCTGCTTTCGATGGTCATCTTGATGTCATCAAATATCTAATCAGTCAAGGAGCCGAAGTGAATAGGGGAGATAATGAGGGTAAAACTGCATTACACAGTGCTGCTCAGAAGGGTCATCTTGATGTCACCGACTATCTGATTAGTCAAGGAGCTGAGGTGAATAAGGGAGATAACACAGGTAGGACTGCATTACGCACTGCTGCTTTCAATGGTCATCATGATGTGACCAAATATCTCATCAATGAAGGAGCTGAGGTGAATATAGGAGATAATGAGAGTGTGACTGCATTAGAAGTTGCTGCTCAGGAGGGTCATATTGATGTCACCAAATATCTGATCAGCCAAGGAGCTGAGATGAATAAGGGAGATAATAGAGGTTGGACTGCACTACAAAGTGCTGCAATCAAGGGTCATCTTAATGTCACCAAATATCTAATCAGTCAAGGAGCTGAAGTGAATATAGGAGATAATGAGGGTGTAACTGCATTACAAGCTGCTGCTCAAGAGGGTCATCTTGATGTCACCAAATTTCTGATAAGTCAGGAAGCTGAGGTGAATAGGGGCAATAATGAAGGTAGGACTGCATTACACAGTGCTGCTTTTAATGGTCATCTGGATGTGACCAAATATCTCATCAATGAAGGAGCTGAGGTGAATATAGGAGATAATGAGAGTGTGACTGCATTAGAAGTTGCTGCTCAGGAGGGTCATATTGATGTCACCAAATATCTGATCAGCCAAGGAGCTGAAATGAATAAGGGAGATAATAGAGGTTGGACTGCATTACAAAGTGCTGCAATCAAGGGTCATCTTAATGTCATCGAATATCTGATCAGTCAAGGAGCTGATGTTAATAGGGGAAATAATGACGGTTGGACTGCATTACACAGTGCTGCTCAGAATGGTCATCTTGATGTCACCGAATATCTAATCAATCAAGGAGCTGAGGTGAATAAGGGAGATAACACAGGTAGGACTGCATTGCGCACTGCTGCTTCCAATGGTCATCATGATGTGACCAAATATCTCATCAATCAAGGAGCTGAGGTGAATACGGGAGATAATGAGGGTAGGACTTTATTACACAGTGCTGCTCAGAATGGTCATCTTGATGTCACCGAATATCTGATCAATCAAGGAGCTGAGGTGAATAAGGGAGATAATGAGGGTGTGACTGCATTACAAGCTGCTGCTCAGGAGGGTCATCTTGATGTCACCAAATATCTCATCATTCAAGGAGCTGAGGTGAATAGGGGAGATAACACAGGTAGGACTGCATTACACAGTGCTGCTCAGAATGTTCATCTTGAGGTCACCAATTATCTCATCAGTCAAGGAGCTGAAGTGAATATAGGATATAATGACGGTTCGACTGCATTACACAGTGCTGCTCAATATGGTCATCTTCAAGTCACCAAATATCTCATCAGTGAAGGAGCTGAGACGAAAAAGGGAGATAATGACGGGAAGACTGCTTTACACCTTGCTGCTCAGGGGGGTCATATTGATGTCACCAAATATCTGATCAGTCAAGGAGCTGAGGTGAATATGGGAAATAATGACGGTTGGACTGCGTTACACAGTGCTGCTCAATGTGATCATCTTAATGTCATCAAATTTCTAATCAGTCAAGGAGCCAAGGTGAATAGGGGAGATCACAGAGGTAGGACTGCATTACGCACTGCTGCTGCCAATGGTCATCTTGATGTCACTACATATCTGATCGGTCAGGAAGCTGAGGTGAATAAGGGAAATAATAACGGTTTGACTGCATTACACAGTGCTGCATTCCATGGTCATCTTGATGTCACCAAATATCTCATCAGTCAAGGAGCTGAGGTGATTAAGAGGGACAATGACGGTAAGACTGCATTACACCTTGCCGCAAACAAGGATCATCTTGATATGACCAAATATCTGATCAGTCAAGGAGCTGAAGTAAATATGGGAGATAATGAGGGTTGGACTGCATTGCACAGTGCTGCTCAGAAGGGTCATCTTGAAGTCACCAAATATCTGATCAGTCAAGGAGCTAAAGTGAATATGGGTGATAATGAGGGTGTGACTGTATTACACATTGCTGCTCAGGAGGGTCATCTTGATGTCACCAAATTTCTGATCAGTCAAGGAGCTAAAGTGAATATGGGTGATAATGAGGGTGTGACTGCATTACACATTGCTGCTCAGGAGGGTCATATTGATGTCACCGAATACTTGATCATTCAAGGAGCTGAGGTGAATAAGGGAGATAACAGAGGTATGACTGCATTACGCACTGCTGCTTTCAATGGTCATCATGATGTGACCAAATATCTCATCAACCAAGGAGCTGAGGTGATTAAGAGGGACAATGACGGTAAGACTGCATTACACCTTGCCGCAAACAAGGATCATCTTGATATGACCAAATATCTGATCAGTCAAGGAGCTGAAGTAAATATGGGAGATAATGAGGGTTGGACTGCATTGCACAGTGCTGCTCAGAAGGGTCATCTTGAAGTCACCAAATATCTGATCAGTCAAGGAGCTAAAGTGAATATGGGTGATAATGAGGGTGTGACTGTATTACACATTGCTGCTCAGGAGGGTCATCTTGATGTCATCAAATATCTAATCAGTCAAGGAGCCGAAGTGAATAGGGGAGATAATGAGGGAAAAACTGCATTACACAGTCCTGCTCAGGAGGGTCATCTTGATGTCACCGACTATCTGATTAGTCAAGGAGCTGAGGTGAATAAGGGAGATAACACAGGTAGGACTGCATTACGCACTGCTGCTTTCAATGGTCATCATGATGTGACCAAATATCTCATCAACCAAGGAGCTGAAGTGAATATGGGAGATAATGAGGGTGTGACTGCATTACAACTTGCTGCTCAAGAGGGTCATCTTGATGTCACCAAATTTCTGATAAGTCAGGAAGCTGAGGTGAATAGGGGCAATAATGAAGGTAGGACTGCATTACACAGTGCTGCTTTTAATGGTCATCTGGATGTGACCAAATATCTCATCAATGAAGGAGCTGAGGTGAATATAGGAGATAATGAGAGTGTGACTGCATTAGAAGTTGCTGCTCAGGAGGGTCATATTGATGTCACCAAATATCTCATCAATCAAGGTGCTGAGGTGAATAAGGGAGACAAAGACGGCAAGACGGCATTACACGGTGCTGCTTTCGATGGTCATCTTGATGTCATCAAATATCTAATCAGTCAAGGAGCCGAAGTGAATAGGGGAGATAATGAGGGTAAAACTGCATTACACAGTGCTGCTCAGAAGGGTCATCTTGATGTCACCGACTATCTGATTAGTCAAGGAGCTGAGGTGAATAAGGGAGATAACACAGGTAGGACTGCATTACGCACTGCTGCTTTCAATGGTCATCATGATGTGACCAAATATCTCATCAACCAAGGAGCTGAAGTGAATATGGGAGATAATGAGGGTGTGACTGCATTACAACTTGCTGCTCAAGAGGGTCATCTTGATGTCACCAAATTTCTGATAAGTCAGGAAGCTGAGGTGAATAGGGGCAATAATGAAGGTAGGACTGCATTACACAGTGCTGCTTTTAATGGTCATCTGGATGTGACCAAATATCTCATCAATGAAGGAGCTGAGGTGAATATAGGAGATAATGAGAGTGTGACTGCATTAGAAGTTGCTGCTCAGGAGGGTCATATTGATGTCACCAAATATCTGATCAGCCAAGGAGCTGAAATGAATAAGGGAGATAATAGAGGTTGGACTTTATTACAAAGGGCTGCAATCAAGGGTCATCTTAATGTCACCAAATATCTCATCAGTCAAGGAGCTGAGGTGAATAGGGGAGATAACACCGGTAGGACTGCATTACACAGTGCTGCTCAGAATGTTCATCTTGAGGTCACCAATTATCTAATCAGTCAAGGAGCTGAGGCGAAGAAGGGAGACAAAGACGGCAAGACGGCATTACACTTTGCTGCTCAGGAGGGTCATATTGATGTAACCAAATATCTCATCAATCAAGGTGCTGAGGTGAATAAGGGAGACAAAGACGGCAAGACGGCATTACACGGTGCTGCTTTCGATGGTCATCTTGATGTCATCAAATATCTAATCAGTCAAGGAGCCGAAGTGAATAGGGGAGATAATGAGGGTAAAACTGCATTACACAGTGCTGCTCAGAAGGGTCATCTTGATGTCACCGACTATCTGATTAGTCAAGGAGCTGAGGTGAATAAGGGAGATAACACAGGTAGGACTGCATTACGCACTGCTGCTTTCAATGGTCATCATGATGTGACCAAATATCTCATCAATGAAGGAGCTGAGGTGAATATAGGAGATAATGAGAGTGTGACTGCATTAGAAGTTGCTGCTCAGGAGGGTCATATTGATGTCACCAAATATCTGATCAGCCAAGGAGCTGAGATGAATAAGGGAGATAATAGAGGTTGGACTGCACTACAAAGTGCTGCAATCAAGGGTCATCTTAATGTCACCAAATATCTAATCAGTCAAGGAGCTGAAGTGAATATAGGAGATAATGAGGGTGTAACTGCATTACAAGCTGCTGCTCAAGAGGGTCATCTTGATGTCACCAAATTTCTGATAAGTCAGGAAGCTGAGGTGAATAGGGGCAATAATGAAGGTAGGACTGCATTACACAGTGCTGCTTTTAATGGTCATCTGGATGTGACCAAATATCTCATCAATGAAGGAGCTGAGGTGAATATAGGAGATAATGAGAGTGTGACTGCATTAGAAGTTGCTGCTCAGGAGGGTCATATTGATGTCACCAAATATCTGATCAGCCAAGGAGCTGAAATGAATAAGGGAGATAATAGAGGTTGGACTGCATTACAAAGTGCTGCAATCAAGGGTCATCTTAATGTCATCGAATATCTGATCAGTCAAGGAGCTGATGTTAATAGGGGAAATAATGACGGTTGGACTGCATTACACAGTGCTGCTCAGAATGGTCATCTTGATGTCACCGAATATCTAATCAATCAAGGAGCTGAGGTGAATAAGGGAGATAACACAGGTAGGACTGCATTGCGCACTGCTGCTTCCAATGGTCATCATGATGTGACCAAATATCTCATCAATCAAGGAGCTGAGGTGAATACGGGAGATAATGAGGGTAGGACTTTATTACACAGTGCTGCTCAGAATGGTCATCTTGATGTCACCGAATATCTGATCAATCAAGGAGCTGAGGTGAATAAGGGAGATAATGAGGGTGTGACTGCATTACACAGTGCTGCTCAGAAGGGTCATCTTGATGTCACCGACTATCTGATTAGTCAAGGAGCTGAGGTGAATAAGGGAGATAACACAGGTAGGACTGCATTACGCACTGCTGCTTTCAATGGTCATCATGATGTGACCAAATATCTCATCAATGAAGGAGCTGAGGTGAATATAGGAGATAATGAGAGTGTGACTGCATTAGAAGTTGCTGCTCAGGAGGGTCATATTGATGTCACCAAATATCTGATCAGCCAAGGAGCTGAGATGAATAAGGGAGATAATAGAGGTTGGACTGCACTACAAAGTGCTGCAATCAAGGGTCATCTTAATGTCACCAAATATCTAATCAGTCAAGGAGCTGAAGTGAATATAGGAGATAATGAGGGTGTAACTGCATTACAAGCTGCTGCTCAAGAGGGTCATCTTGATGTCACCAAATTTCTGATAAGTCAGGAAGCTGAGGTGAATAGGGGCAATAATGAAGGTAGGACTGCATTACACAGTGCTGCTTTTAATGGTCATCTGGATGTGACCAAATATCTCATCAATGAAGGAGCTGAGGTGAATATAGGAGATAATGAGAGTGTGACTGCATTAGAAGTTGCTGCTCAGGAGGGTCATATTGATGTCACCAAATATCTCATCAATCAAGGTGCTGAGGTGAATAAGGGAGACAAAGACGGCAAGACGGCATTACACGGTGCTGCTTTCGATGGTCATCTTGATGTCATCAAATATCTAATCAGTCAAGGAGCCGAAGTGAATAGGGGAGATAATGAGGGTAAAACTGCATTACACAGTGCTGCTCAGAAGGGTCATCTTGATGTCACCGACTATCTGATTAGTCAAGGAGCTGAGGTGAATAAGGGAGATAACACAGGTAGGACTGCATTACGCACTGCTGCTTTCAATGGTCATCATGATGTGACCAAATATCTCATCAACCAAGGAGCTGAAGTGAATATGGGAGATAATGAGGGTGTGACTGCATTACAACTTGCTGCTCAAGAGGGTCATCTTGATGTCACCAAATTTCTGATAAGTCAGGAAGCTGAGGTGAATAGGGGCAATAATGAAGGTAGGACTGCATTACACAGTGCTGCTTTTAATGGTCATCTGGATGTGACCAAATATCTCATCAATGAAGGAGCTGAGGTGAATATAGGAGATAATGAGAGTGTGACTGCATTAGAAGTTGCTGCTCAGGAGGGTCATATTGATGTCACCAAATATCTGATCAGCCAAGGAGCTGAAATGAATAAGGGAGATAATAGAGGTTGGACTTTATTACAAAGGGCTGCAATCAAGGGTCATCTTAATGTCACCAAATATCTCATCAGTCAAGGAGCTGAGGTGAATAGGGGAGATAACACCGGTAGGACTGCATTACACAGTGCTGCTCAGAATGTTCATCTTGAGGTCACCAATTATCTAATCAGTCAAGGAGCTGAGGCGAAGAAGGGAGACAAAGACGGCAAGACGGCATTACACTTTGCTGCTCAGGAGGGTCATATTGATGTAACCAAATATCTCATCAATCAAGGTGCTGAGGTGAATAAGGGAGACAAAGACGGCAAGACGGCATTACACGGTGCTGCTTTCGATGGTCATCTTGATGTCATCAAATATCTAATCAGTCAAGGAGCCGAAGTGAATAGGGGAGATAATGAGGGTAAAACTGCATTACACAGTGCTGCTCAGAAGGGTCATCTTGATGTCACCGACTATCTGATTAGTCAAGGAGCTGAGGTGAATAAGGGAGATAACACAGGTAGGACTGCATTACGCACTGCTGCTTTCAATGGTCATCATGATGTGACCAAATATCTCATCAATGAAGGAGCTGAGGTGAATATAGGAGATAATGAGAGTGTGACTGCATTAGAAGTTGCTGCTCAGGAGGGTCATATTGATGTCACCAAATATCTGATCAGCCAAGGAGCTGAGATGAATAAGGGAGATAATAGAGGTTGGACTGCACTACAAAGTTCTGCAATCAAGGGTCATCTTAATGTCACCAAATATCTAATCAGTCAAGGAGCTGAAGTGAATATAGGAGATAATGAGGGTGTAACTGCATTACAAGCTGCTGCTCAAGAGGGTCATCTTGATGTCACCAAATTTCTGATAAGTCAGGAAGCTGAGGTGAATAGGGGCAATAATGAAGGTAGGACTGCATTACACAGTGCTGCTTTTAATGGTCATCTGGATGTGACCAAATATCTCATCAATGAAGGAGCTGAGGTGAATATAGGAGATAATGAGAGTGTGACTGCATTAGAAGTTGCTGCTCAGGAGGGTCATATTGATGTCACCAAATATCTGATCAGCCAAGGAGCTGAAATGAATAAGGGAGATAATAGAGGTTGGACTGCATTACAAAGTGCTGCAATCAAGGGTCATCTTAATGTCATCGAATATCTGATCAGTCAAGGAGCTGATGTTAATAGGGGAAATAATGACGGTTGGACTGCATTACACAGTGCTGCTCAGAATGGTCATCTTGATGTCACCGAATATCTAATCAATCAAGGAGCTGAGGTGAATAAGGGAGATAACACAGGTAGGACTGCATTGCGCACTGCTGCTTCCAATGGTCATCATGATGTGACCAAATATCTCATCAATCAAGGAGCTGAGGTGAATACGGGAGATAATGAGGGTAGGACTTTATTACACAGTGCTGCTCAGAATGGTCATCTTGATGTCACCGAATATCTGATCAATCAAGGAGCTGAGGTGAATAAGGGAGATAATGAGGGTGTGACTGCATTACAAGCTGCTGCTCAGGAGGGTCATCTTGATGTCACCAAATATCTCATCATTCAAGGAGCTGAGGTGAATAGGGGAGATAACACAGGTAGGACTGCATTACACAGTGCTGCTCAGAATGTTCATCTTGAGGTCACCAATTATCTCATCAGTCAAGGAGCTGAAGTGAATATAGGATATAATGACGGTTCGACTGCATTACACAGTGCTGCTCAATATGGTCATCTTCAAGTCACCAAATATCTCATCAGTGAAGGAGCTGAGACGAAAAAGGGAGATAATGACGGGAAGACTGCTTTACACCTTGCTGCTCAGGGGGGTCATATTGATGTCACCAAATATCTGATCAGTCAAGGAGCTGAGGTGAATATGGGAAATAATGACGGTTGGACTGCGTTACACAGTGCTGCTCAATGTGGTCATCTTAATGTCATCAAATTTCTAATCAGTCAAGGAGCCAAGGTGAATAGGGGAGATCACAGAGGTAGGACTGCATTACGCACTGCTGCTGCCAATGGTCATCTTGATGTCACTACATATCTGATCGGTCAGGAAGCTGAGGTGAATAAGGGAAATAATAACGGTTTGACTGCATTACACAGTGCTGCATTCCATGGTCATCTTGATGTCACCAAATATCTCATCAGTCAAGGAGCTGAGGTGATTAAGAGGGACAATGACGGTAAGACTGCATTACACCTTGCCGCAAACAAGGATCATCTTGATATGACCAAATATCTGATCAGTCAAGGAGCTGAAGTAAATATGGGAGATAATGAGGGTTGGACTGCATTGCACAGTGCTGCTCAGAAGGGTCATCTTGAAGTCACCAAATATCTGATCAGTCAAGGAGCTAAAGTGAATATGGGTGATAATGAGGGTGTGACTGTATTACACATTGCTGCTCAGGAGGGTCATCTTGATGTCACCAAATTTCTGATCAGTCAAGGAGCTAAAGTGAATATGGGTGATAATGAGGGTGTGACTGCATTACACATTGCTGCTCAGGAGGGTCATATTGATGTCACCGAATACTTGATCATTCAAGGAGCTGAGGTGAATAAGGGAGATAACAGAGGTATGACTGCATTACGCACTGCTGCTTTCAATGGTCATCATGATGTGACCAAATATCTCATCAACCAAGGAGCTGAGGTGATTAAGAGGGACAATGACGGTAAGACTGCATTACACCTTGCCGCAAACAAGGATCATCTTGATATGACCAAATATCTGATCAGTCAAGGAGCTGAAGTAAATATGGGAGATAATGAGGGTTGGACTGCATTGCACAGTGCTGCTCAGAAGGGTCATCTTGAAGTCACCAAATATCTGATCAGTCAAGGAGCTAAAGTGAATATGGGTGATAATGAGGGTGTGACTGTATTACACATTGCTGCTCAGGAGGGTCATCTTGATGTCATCAAATATCTAATCAGTCAAGGAGCCGAAGTGAATAGGGGAGATAATGAGGGAAAAACTGCATTACACAGTCCTGCTCAGGAGGGTCATCTTGATGTCACCGACTATCTGATTAGTCAAGGAGCTGAGGTGAATAAGGGAGATAACACAGGTAGGACTGCATTACGCACTGCTGCTTTCAATGGTCATCATGATGTGACCAAATATCTCATCAACCAAGGAGCTGAAGTGAATATGGGAGATAATGAGGGTGTGACTGCATTACAACTTGCTGCTCAAGAGGGTCATCTTGATGTCACCAAATTTCTGATAAGTCAGGAAGCTGAGGTGAATAGGGGCAATAATGAAGGTAGGACTGCATTACACAGTGCTGCTTTTAATGGTCATCTGGATGTGACCAAATATCTCATCAATGAAGGAGCTGAGGTGAATATAGGAGATAATGAGAGTGTGACTGCATTAGAAGTTGCTGCTCAGGAGGGTCATATTGATGTCACCAAATATCTCATCAATCAAGGTGCTGAGGTGAATAAGGGAGACAAAGACGGCAAGACGGCATTACACGGTGCTGCTTTCGATGGTCATCTTGATGTCATCAAATATCTAATCAGTCAAGGAGCCGAAGTGAATAGGGGAGATAATGAGGGTAAAACTGCATTACACAGTGCTGCTCAGAAGGGTCATCTTGATGTCACCGACTATCTGATTAGTCAAGGAGCTGAGGTGAATAAGGGAGATAACACAGGTAGGACTGCATTACGCACTGCTGCTTTCAATGGTCATCATGATGTGACCAAATATCTCATCAACCAAGGAGCTGAAGTGAATATGGGAGATAATGAGGGTGTGACTGCATTACAACTTGCTGCTCAAGAGGGTCATCTTGATGTCACCAAATTTCTGATAAGTCAGGAAGCTGAGGTGAATAGGGGCAATAATGAAGGTAGGACTGCATTACACAGTGCTGCTTTTAATGGTCATCTGGATGTGACCAAATATCTCATCAATGAAGGAGCTGAGGTGAATATAGGAGATAATGAGAGTGTGACTGCATTAGAAGTTGCTGCTCAGGAGGGTCATATTGATGTCACCAAATATCTGATCAGCCAAGGAGCTGAAATGAATAAGGGAGATAATAGAGGTTGGACTTTATTACAAAGGGCTGCAATCAAGGGTCATCTTAATGTCACCAAATATCTCATCAGTCAAGGAGCTGAGGTGAATAGGGGAGATAACACCGGTAGGACTGCATTACACAGTGCTGCTCAGAATGTTCATCTTGAGGTCACCAATTATCTAATCAGTCAAGGAGCTGAGGCGAAGAAGGGAGACAAAGACGGCAAGACGGCATTACACTTTGCTGCTCAGGAGGGTCATATTGATGTAACCAAATATCTCATCAATCAAGGTGCTGAGGTGAATAAGGGAGACAAAGACGGCAAGACGGCATTACACGGTGCTGCTTTCGATGGTCATCTTGATGTCATCAAATATCTAATCAGTCAAGGAGCCGAAGTGAATAGGGGAGATAATGAGGGTAAAACTGCATTACACAGTGCTGCTCAGAAGGGTCATCTTGATGTCACCGACTATCTGATTAGTCAAGGAGCTGAGGTGAATAAGGGAGATAACACAGGTAGGACTGCATTACGCACTGCTGCTTTCAATGGTCATCATGATGTGACCAAATATCTCATCAATGAAGGAGCTGAGGTGAATATAGGAGATAATGAGAGTGTGACTGCATTAGAAGTTGCTGCTCAGGAGGGTCATATTGATGTCACCAAATATCTGATCAGCCAAGGAGCTGAGATGAATAAGGGAGATAATAGAGGTTGGACTGCACTACAAAGTGCTGCAATCAAGGGTCATCTTAATGTCACCAAATATCTAATCAGTCAAGGAGCTGAAGTGAATATAGGAGATAATGAGGGTGTAACTGCATTACAAGCTGCTGCTCAAGAGGGTCATCTTGATGTCACCAAATTTCTGATAAGTCAGGAAGCTGAGGTGAATAGGGGCAATAATGAAGGTAGGACTGCATTACACAGTGCTGCTTTTAATGGTCATCTGGATGTGACCAAATATCTCATCAATGAAGGAGCTGAGGTGAATATAGGAGATAATGAGAGTGTGACTGCATTAGAAGTTGCTGCTCAGGAGGGTCATATTGATGTCACCAAATATCTGATCAGCCAAGGAGCTGAAATGAATAAGGGAGATAATAGAGGTTGGACTGCATTACAAAGTGCTGCAATCAAGGGTCATCTTAATGTCATCGAATATCTGATCAGTCAAGGAGCTGATGTTAATAGGGGAAATAATGACGGTTGGACTGCATTACACAGTGCTGCTCAGAATGGTCATCTTGATGTCACCGAATATCTAATCAATCAAGGAGCTGAGGTGAATAAGGGAGATAACACAGGTAGGACTGCATTGCGCACTGCTGCTTCCAATGGTCATCATGATGTGACCAAATATCTCATCAATCAAGGAGCTGAGGTGAATACGGGAGATAATGAGGGTAGGACTTTATTACACAGTGCTGCTCAGAATGGTCATCTTGATGTCACCGAATATCTGATCAATCAAGGAGCTGAGGTGAATAAGGGAGATAATGAGGGTGTGACTGCATTACAAGCTGCTGCTCAGGAGGGTCATCTTGATGTCACCAAATATCTCATCATTCAAGGAGCTGAGGTGAATAGGGGAGATAACACAGGTAGGACTGCATTACACAGTGCTGCTCAGAATGTTCATCTTGAGGTCACCAATTATCTCATCAGTCAAGGAGCTGAAGTGAATATAGGATATAATGACGGTTCGACTGCATTACACAGTGCTGCTCAATATGGTCATCTTCAAGTCACCAAATATCTCATCAGTGAAGGAGCTGAGACGAAAAAGGGAGATAATGACGGGAAGACTGCTTTACACCTTGCTGCTCAGGGGGGTCATATTGATGTCACCAAATATCTGATCAGTCAAGGAGCTGAGGTGAATATGGGAAATAATGACGGTTGGACTGCGTTACACAGTGCTGCTCAATGTGGTCATCTTAATGTCATCAAATTTCTAATCAGTCAAGGAGCCAAGGTGAATAGGGGAGATCACAGAGGTAGGACTGCATTACGCACTGCTGCTGCCAATGGTCATCTTGATGTCACTACATATCTGATCGGTCAGGAAGCTGAGGTGAATAAGGGAAATAATAACGGTTTGACTGCATTACACAGTGCTGCATTCCATGGTCATCTTGATGTCACCAAATATCTCATCAGTCAAGGAGCTGAGGTGATTAAGAGGGACAATGACGGTAAGACTGCATTACACCTTGCCGCAAACAAGGATCATCTTGATATGACCAAATATCTGATCAGTCAAGGAGCTGAAGTAAATATGGGAGATAATGAGGGTTGGACTGCATTGCACAGTGCTGCTCAGAAGGGTCATCTTGAAGTCACCAAATATCTGATCAGTCAAGGAGCTAAAGTGAATATGGGTGATAATGAGGGTGTGACTGTATTACACATTGCTGCTCAGGAGGGTCATCTTGATGTCACCAAATATCTGATCAGTCAAGGAGCTAAAGTGAATATGGGTGATAATGAGGGTGTGACTGCATTACACATTGCTGCTCAGGAGGGTCATATTGATGTCACCGAATACTTGATCATTCAAGGAGCTGAGGTGAATAAGGGAGATAACAGAGGTATGACTGCATTACGCAGTACTGCTTCTAATGGTCAGCTTGATGTGACCAAATATCTGATCAGTCAAGGAGCTGAAGTGAATATGGGAGATAATGATGGTGTGACTGCATTACACATTGCTGCTCAGGAGGGTCATACTGATCTCACCAAATATCTGATCAGTCAAGGAGCTGAAGTGAATATGGGACATAATGAGGGTTTGACTGCATTACACGGTGCTGCTCATCAGGGTCATCTTGATGTCACCAAATATCTGATCGGTCAGGAAGCTGAGGTGAATAGGGGAGATAATAGAGGTTGGACTGCATTACGCACTGCAGCTTCTAATGGTCAGCTTGATGTGACCAAATATCTGATCAGTCAAGGAGCTGAGGTGAATATGGGAAATAACGGAGGTTGGACTGCATTACAAATTGCTGCTCAGGAGGGTCATCTTGATGTCACCAAATATCTGATCAGTCAAGGAGCTGAGGTAAATATGGGAGATAATGAGGGTTGGACTGCATTGCACAGTGCTGCTCAGAAGGGTCATCTTGAAGTCACCAAATATCTGATCAGTCAAGGAGCTAAAGTGAATATGGGTGATAATGAGGGTGTGACTGTATTACACATTGCTGCTCAGGAGGGTCATCTTGATGTCACCAAATATCTGATCAGTCAAGGAGCTGAGGTGAATATGGGAAATAACGGAGGTTGGACTGCATTACAAATTGCTGCTCAGGAGGGTCATCTTGATGTCACCAAATATCTGATCAGTCAAGGAGCTGAGGTGAATATGGGAAATAATGACGGTTGGACTGCGTTACACAGTGCTGCTCAATGTGGTCATCTTAATGTCATCAAATTTCTAATCAGTCAAGGAGCCAAGGTGAATAGGGGAGATAACAGAGGTAGGACTGCATTACGCACTGCTGCTGCCAATGGTCATCTTGATGTCACTACATATCTGATCGTTCAGGAAGCTGAGGTGAATAAGGGAAATAATAACGGTTTGACTGCATTACACAGTGCTGCATTCCATGGTTATCTTGATGTCACCAAATATCTCATCAGTCAAGGAGCTGAGGTGAATAAGAGGGACAATGACGGTAAGACTGCATTACACCTTGCCGCAAACAAGGATCCTCTTGATATGACCAAATATCTGATCAGTCAAGGAGCTGAAGTGAATATGGGAGATAATGAGGGTTGGACTGCATTGCACAGTGCTGCTCAGAAGGGTCATCTTGAAGTCACCAAATATCTGATCAGTCAAGGAGCTGAGGTGAATAAGGGAGATAACAGAGGTATGACTGCATTACGCAGTGCTGCTTCCCATTGCCATCTTGATGTGACCAAATATCTCATCAGTCAAGGAGCTGAAGTAAATATGGGAGATAATGAGGGTGCGACTGCATTTCAACTTGCTGCTCAAGAGGGTCATCTTGATGTCACCAAATATCTGATGAGTCAAGGAGCTGAATTGAATAAGGGAGCTAATGACGGCAGGACTGCATTACAACTAGCTGCTAAGAATGGTCATCTTGAGGTCATTAAATACCTTATCAGTCAAGGGGCGGAGGTGAATAGGGGAGATAATGACGGTGTGACTGCATTACGCAGTGCAGCTTCTAATGGTCAGCTTGATGTGACCAAATATCTCATCAGTGAAGGAGCTGTGGTGAATAAGGGAGATAATGACGGTTGGACTGCATTACAATTTGCTACTCTGGAGGGTCATATTGATGTTACCAAATATCTGATGAGTCAAGGAGCTGATGTGAATAGGGGAGCTAATGACGGCAGGACTGCATTACAACTAGCTGCTAATAATGGTCATCTTGAGGTCATTAAATACCTTATCAGTCAAGGGGCGGAGGTGAATAGGGGAGATAATGATGGTGTGACTGCATTCCAAGCTGCTGCTCAGGAAGGTCATCTTGATGTCACCGAATATCTGATCAGTCAAGGAGCTGAGGTGAATAGGGGAAATAATGACGGTTGGACTGCTTTACACAGTTCTGTAATCAAGGGTCATCTTGATGTCATCAAATTTCTAATCAATCAAGGAGCAGAGGTGAATAGGGGAGATAATGAGGGTAGGACTTCATTACACACTGCTGCTCAGAATGGTCATCTTGATGTGACCAAATATCTAATCAGTCAAGGAGCTGAGGTGAATAACGGAGTCAAAGGCGGCAAGACTGCATTACACTTTGCTGCAATCAAGGGTCATCTTGATGTCATCAAATATCTAATCAGTCGAGGAGCTGAGGTGAATATGGGAGATAATGAGGGTAGGTCTTCATTACACAGTGCTGCTCAGAATGGTCATCTTGATGCCACCGAATATCTGATCAGTCAAGGAGCTGAGATAAATAGGGGAGATAACGACGGCAAGACTGCATTACACCTTGCTGCTCAGGAGGTTCATCATGAGGTCACCAAATATCTGATCAGTGAGGAAGCTGAGGTGAATATGGGTGACAGAAATGGCTACACTCCAATGCACATTGCTGCTTTGAAGGATGACCTCGATATCGTTAAGGTCCTGCTTGAGGAAGGAGCCCTAGTTGATGTAAGGGATGCCAATGGACAGACCCCACTCCATCTATCTTCAAAGAAAGGAAGCGCCAACTCTTGCGACTTCTTAGCAAAGCATGCAAAGGTGTGTAATATATCCTTCCTCTGCATAGTAAAGAGCCAATATAACTTAAAACAAGTGTCAAATTACAATTTTGAAAATATGTAATAATAGATGCAAACATAGATGAATGGAGTTTATTTCGAATCCATATGTTTCTAGGCTTAGATATGAACATATTCAGGTTACACTAAGTGTAGGCTAACTAGAATTCAAGAAAGTGTTTCTTAATAATTATTTAGCCTTTAAAAGCTAGTTTACAGTCCACTTAATGCTGCCAGTTCTCTATTAAAATAATCTGCCTATATATAATGTATCATTTAAACACTCTTTTTTTTTGTTATAGATAAATGGAATTCTCGATCACCGTGATGATAAAGGATTGACGGCCATTCACCTCGCCACTCAAAATGGCTACACACCGGTTGTCGAGTCGCTGGTTTCTCATGGAGCTTCCTTAAACATCCAGTCGGACAATGGAAAGACCTGTCTTCATGAAGCCATCATACTTTCTGATCACACGAGCAGAACAGAGCAAACAAAAGCGAGACCCCAACAGGTAAAGACGACTTAAAACTTACCTAGCACGGACAACCGTGGATGTTTCCATATTTCGACAGAACATAGTTACCCGTGCCCTGCCCTATACTTCCATATATTGACAACTAACACTTGCCCTGTATGGTGGCATACGTTTGACATACAAGCTTCAGCGGAAACGGATCTTTCGAAAGTTAAATTCATTCAGCCTTTACTATCTTTCTTTTTTTTACAACCGAGAACACAAAAATCAGGGCAGCCATTTTATCCATCAAAATAAAAGACAGATTTATCCCCAAAGAATTGATAGATCAAATCTAAGTTACCTTCCTTGATCTAACGGTTGTTTTGATTCAGATTTCAGAAGATTTCTATCGGCAAGAGCTTTTCCGAAAGAAGGCGGCTTTGGTCTTATACATTCTGGAGCAAGGTGGAAAGATGGACATAAGGGATGTTAAAGGCAAACTACCAATCCACTATGCTACCAATGAAGTTATCCGACAGATGATATTTTCAAGGTAAGGAAATCTTTGTTCACAAGCTACATATTTGTATGATTAATGGGGCCAGTTCGGAGATAACATCTTCGTATGGTTATATAAAGGTTATTAGAACAAATTGTAGAACCCATCGAAACAATTGCCGGATACATCTTCACATTTATAGTCATTATTCGTGTATACACCAATGGTAATTTCTATTAAAGGGTCACACAAATGGACGTCTTCTTTTAAAGAGAAAAAACAAAATGTATCCGTGAAGCACCTCCATCCCTTTGGCAGTGATTATTATAAAATGCATAGAGTGAGACTTATCCATGTTTCAAAGATCTTTGGATATTTAGGGGTCGTTTGTACATGGCCTGTCTTCGGTCGGTCTAAACTAACATTGGCATACTGGAGGAGGAAAAAAAATCGTTATTCGCTT